TAGCCAGTTCCAGGTCTTTCTTGTTCGTAGGAGCGGGAAGACTCCATTGAACCTCTGCTTGGAGCATACGCACTCGAACTGCTCGGAGCGTAGCGTGAAGCTGAAGCACCGCCATGTTGAGTAGCAGGTGCATATCGACTGGGTGCGACATGTCCAGTGGCAGAAGATATGCTGCCGCCCATTGACATTGCTCCATACAGATCCGTAGTTGAAGCTGTTCTGCTGACTGTTGGTGTCTCACCAGTGATACCTCCGAATGGGCCTGCAGGGGCGCCTTCACCACCAGTTGAGCCGTTCGCTTTTGACTCATCATCATCACCAGCGACGAAAGTGTTGAAGCGCTTCCACATACTACCAGAGACCTTGTCCATGGACGGTTTAGGGATCCATCCCCCGGAAGCGCTGGCTTGAGGTGCTTGCGACAGACATCTGTGCAAGTCATCTACACTGCTCAGTAGTGCAGGGTGATAGTATGGCGAAAGGCGGGTAGATGCCTTGAATGAAGCCATGATCGCATCACAATATGCCAGTGCTTCGCTACGCAGGCCGTGCTCTGTGAGTATCTGAGCATGCTGGTATTTGAATGCTTGTAGATGGTGAAGAGTAGGCGATGTTCCGGGAGCAGGTGCAAGAGACACGCAGAGCTCGTAGACTTCAGTAAGAAGAATCGCATCCAGATCAGAAAGCTCCTGAGTCTGGTTCTTGTGGTCCGCTCCAAGCAGTACGAAGCTAGACTTCTCGTCGTCAGCGCCACCAAGATGAGCTGAAGCTTTAGCAAAGAGGTAGCAAGTGTGGGCTGCCTCACTGCGACCATAGCTAGAGAGAAGTTTGCCCAGGGCTGAAATAGCTTGAACATCGTTATTGCTTCTGTTGCTGATGATGAGACACAACGTTTCGCGCCACTGGTCAAGACCATCAAGAGGATTCTTCGCACTCGGTCCTGCCTTGCTGATCATCTGGAAGCCGGCACGAGCAGAGGGTGGAACGAGCTCGTCAATGCTCTCTTCCCAGTTTCCAGCAAAGACCTCGTACAATGCTGCAAGAGATTGAGAATTTTCTCCTGCATCCTTGACTTGCGAGCGGACATACTCCTGTACCACTTGCTTCCAGATCTCAGGCCCGGCAACCGATGCGATGAGCAAAGCGTGAGACCACAGCTTTTGTTCGGTTGCGTACCAGACGGCCTTCTCACGATCACCAGCCAGAAGGTGTTTGCGAATCTGCGCGACGGCCTTTGCATTGACCGGTTCAGTAGATAGTCCAGAGATGTTCTCATCGGTAACGTCTGCAATAGGCTCTTCTGTTTGTGTGAAGTTCGGCAACAGGATCTTCCGAGCAGCGTCCTCTGCAGACGTATTGCCTTCAATCTTGTTGTCGTGTTCGAGCAAAAGCTTGACCATCTTCCAGAGAACAACCTTCTCTTCGATACGCTTCTTTACTTGAACAGGCATGCCAAAGTCGTGAAGAGTGTCTTCATTCGCCTTCTCAAGATCCTCAATCTTGCCAGTGATCCAAGTGAGAACTTCCTTCTTCTTGGATTTGCCTCTGTTCAAGGGCCCAGGGAATTTTGCATCACGCTCGCTCAGAGGATATGTCACCTTGGTATCATGAATAGTGATATGGCCAGGTGTACACTTGATAGTCGGGATAGCATGACCAGCAGCATAAAAAGGTGCTTGCTTAGGGAACGTGCTCACCAATGAGCCGCTGGGACCCCATTTGAAGACGGGGCAACCCTTGTATCTCTCCAACGGATCTTGCGCTCGTTCGTCTTGAGGCACAGTGAAATTGAGATCCGAGGAGAACTGCTGTCGAGCTGGAGGCAGAGCAGCTCTTGCGTCCTGCCGTTGCAACAATGTCGGGGAGGTAATGTTGCCAGCAGCAGAAGTCGGCCTGTCGATTTGAGTCATAGCTTTCAGAGGTGCTTTCATAGCGGTTCCCGGCGATTGAGTCTTAGAGCGTCTTGGTGGCGAGAATGTATCACTCGGCGCGGGCGCATTGCTGGCAGCATACGGTTGGGACACACGAGACTCAGGAGACGAAGTCATGGGAGCATAAGGATTGGCGCGAGGAGGCGATGCATAGGATTGAGAAAGAGTCTGGTCCAGAGTGTTGCTGTCTCGTCGTGGTGGTGTCGCGAAACCCTCAGCAAGACCCGACATCTGGCGGACTGGAGGTGGAGGCTGGTACGAAACTGCACGCACAGGTGGTGGTGGCATCTCAGCAGCAGCAGGCTTCTCGTGGAAGGCTAGAGGACTCGAAGTGCGAGGGGCAAATGGCTGGACCGGCCTTGCAACAGGCGTAGAAGCAGGCATAGTTGCATACTTGTTCTGTGCTTGGTTCTGGGCCTGAGCCTGAGCCTGTGGAGCCGGAGAATAACGAGAGTTTGCTGCAGGAGCAGGCGGTGGCATCGGCGAGAAGCGGCCACTCGCTGGAGGTGCTGCTGCTAAAGGAGCCTGCTGAGGAGCAACAGGCGAGTATCTCGAATTTGCTGGAGGACCAGTGGGTTGAGGTGGCTCCAACTGCTGAGGAGCGGCCTGCATGTCAGGCAACAAAGGTAGCTTTTCGGGTTGCCTGAAGTCTGCGACACCATAGCTTTCAGAACCAGCGGGTGGAGGCATTACAGGACGGGATGATGGACGGATAGGAGGCCCTTGTGGAGGAGTTTGACCAGGGACCTGAGCAGGGGATGGGGCGGTCACAGCTGGGGTGTAGGGTCTGTTGCGAGGCTTCGGCGCTATGGGTAGTTCCTCGAAGAAACCAGAGGCAGATCGGTTCGCGCCTGAAGCAGTGGCAGGCTTTGGTGGCAAAGTTGCGACGCTGGGCGATTGGTTCATGGGAGGCGATGCAATGGTCGCCGAAGCAGTGGTTGCGGAACGGGAAAAAGGCGGCGGAACATTGAGTGGAACAGATTGCATACTGCTACTCCTTGGTGGAGGAGCTGGAGCATTGGACTGAGTGGGAGCAGCAGCTGCAGCAGGACGTCTACGGGGCTGAACAATGTCTTCGGGCAAGTCGTACGGGGAGGAGTAGCCGCCTTTGGACTTGTCGGCGAAGCTTTGCGCATTGTTCAGAGCTGGTCGGACGGGTTGCTGTTGCTGGTTGTACAAGGGCACAGATGGCAGAGCTGGAGTCAAGTAGGGATTTGGTTGCCGAGCTGCTGGCGAGTATGGGTTTGCAGGGGCGTTGATTTGTTCTTGCGGGCCACCAAGCTTTGTGAAGCCAACCGTGTTTCCTTGAGCGTCTAGTACAGGGGCAATACCGGGGCTAAGTGCTTGCTCAGGGCTAAAGACTTGTTGCGTAGGAGCCGGGGTTGTGTCAAAGTCGTCCAAGAAGCCCTCACCGTCATCGTCGAAGAAGCCACTAGGATCAACAGCGTTGTCGTCGAGGAAGTCATCGTCATCCAAAGCAGCGGACCACATGGCGGCCAGATCCTCTTCGCTCTTCTCACCCTCGGCAGGACCGTCTTCCTCTGCTTTTTGCTCCTGCAGAGCCTGAGCCAGAGCAGTTGCCCGAGAAGCCACAAGGCCACTTCCAGCCGCAAGGTTGTCTGGATCAACGTTGTTCTCGTGTGCTGGAACACTTCCCACAACAGCTCCAAAGTCCTCAACCTGGTCGTCATCCCCNCATTCGAACGCAGCCGAGGACTGAGATTGCACTTGGATCGGCTCCTCAATGGGCTCTTTGGCCACTTGTCGCAAGGTTTCCTTGGCCTCTTTTAGCGCTTCCGAAGGCTCGTAGATTACTGGGACTTCAGGGACTTGATCGTCGAACGTTTGCGACTCTGTGGCGGGCTCTCGTTCAAGTACTGATGGGTCCTCGGTAGACATGTCGTAAACGTGCTCTGCGGCGGCGGCAACTGCTGAGGGATCCGAGTGGAAGGGCTCAAAGGGAACGTCATGGGCGTTAGTGGCAGGAGCATCTGTAGCAAAACCGGGTGTGGGCAAGCTCTCCTCATCCTGCATCAAGGGCGCATCGTCGCTCTCGTCAACGGCATCGTCGGCGGCGGTACTCTGGCCCTGGTACTCGTACTGCTCTCGAATGTGCTCCTGCTCTTCCTTGTCCAAGCTACCAAAAGCTTCCTCGACAGACGAGCGTTCCGGCTCTTGCGATGTGGCTTGTTCGGGCTCAGCGAAGGCCAGAGGCTCGGCGTGCTGGACCTCAGGGACTGGTGCATGATGGGCGTTCTCGAGCAAGTCATGAGTCGGCTCGGGTATCAGCTTCGGCGATTCGATAGGCTCTGGCTGTTGGATTTGCGTGTCCTCCATGACTTCTTCAGCAGCGGGTATTGAGGCTTCGGCACTTTCTGTCGCGGTATCGGGCTGGTCGAAAGCAAGTTGTGCTGACTTGGTGGAAGGATTCTCGGCAGATTCTTCTAGGTCAGCATCTTCAGCGATGGACTGGGGTTGGTCGGCAGGAATGCGGTCGAAGAAGTTGGCATCATCATGGTCGGCTGGAGCAGGTGCCTGTTGCGGAGTGACTACTGGTACATCGTTGGAGCTGTTATGCGTCCTCAGAGCAGGATGCCATGAAGAATGGTGGCCGTCGTCTGCCATGACTGGGTATTATGTATAACGGTTGCTGTGGACATGTCTCAGTATCTATGAAGTAGCAACTCAGGCAACGTGACCATTACTTGGGAAGAGAGGCCTATAACTTACCAAAACAAGATGCCAAGAATCAAGGGCGAGCTTGTCAAGACATTGGATAAGTTAATAGTACAGGCAGCCGGACAGCATAAGAGTAGATATGGCAGCAAGTTGAAAGGAGGTAATAAATGCCAGACTTCAAGACATCAGCCAAGCCTGACGGCCAATCGCGTCGGGGGTCGCGCCAAGCGCCCCGGACTTTGAGTCGTGCGACATGCCCGGTCAGGGTCGCTCGAGTCACGCATGCGAGAGCCTAGAATAGCAGACAGCAACGTAATTGTGTGAGCAGCCATCAACAAAGAAAGTCACCACTCAACCTCCCCTCTTCCTCATCTACACGACAAATGAGGCATGTCACATCGGCACGGCGACTCGACCGCGTCGGCTTCGTTGATCCCTGATGCCGACTCGGACCTGGATCTAGACTTGGACGAACTCGACCCCCAGACTACAACTTCCAACAGGCCCTCAAATGGCGACTCTGGCAAGAACATACCGCTCAAGAACCTGCGATTTGGAGGAAGAAGAGCTTTTAGGAGACCAGACCGCTACATCGATGATGCGGACGCCGACGACCTGGAAGCCTTGGTGGGAAGAGACAGTCAAGCGCATGAACGAGACTCGCACACCCTCCAACCACCGCCGCCGCACACTTCACGCTTACGCCGTCTGTCCGACAAGTCGCACTCGGCCATAGCCAAGTTCAGAGCCCGCCTCAACCCCTTCTCTCGCTCCACTCCGCTCGACAACGACGACGACGACGAGCCCGAAGACGAACACGATCCCGCTTCCAACCGGACCATCGTCGTAGGCAGCCGTCAGGATGCCAAATACCCTCCCAATGCCGTTTCCAACGCCAAATATACCCCCGTGTCTTTCCTTCCTCGAACGCTGTACAACGAGTTCTCCTTCTTCTTCAACATGTACTTCCTCCTCGTCGCCCTGTCGCAAATCATCCCGCAACTGCGCATCGGCTACCTGAGCACTTATATCTTCCCCTTGCTCTTCGTCTTGACCATCACTCTCGGAAAGGAGGCTATGGACGACATACACCGACGGAGGAGAGATCAAGAGGCCAACTCGGAACGATACACCGTCCTGCAGTTTGGTGACAACGACACTACTTCGACACGAAGACGCCGACCCACAGACCTGGATGCTGATGGTCTACTGGACGACCAAGTGCGAGAGGTATCCAAGCCCTCGCGCTTACTGAAGGTCGGAGATGTCTTGGTCATGACCAAAGACCAGCGCTTTCCTGCCGATGTTGTCATTCTCAAAAGTTTCTCGCAAGAGTCATCCGCTCAACCCGAACCTTTGCCGGAAAGCGAAGAGGTAAACTTGTTCGAGACGGAAGCCGCAAGCGTACCAGAACCGCCCTTGGCCAACCAGACCACTTCTGAAGATCCTAGTGCTGGTGGTGAAGCCTTCATCCGAACAGACCAACTCGATGGTGAGACAGACTGGAAGCTCAGGCTGGCATCTCCTCTCACACAAGACTTGGCCTCCCGCGAATTCACAAGGCTGCGCTTGATAGCCGGAAAGCCTGATAAACGCGTGAATGATTTCGCTGGTACCTTGGATCTTCTCCCAGACGGCCGTCAAGCATATGACCCCTACGAGTCCGAAGCGCCCGCTGCTGAAGTGCCAGGCACGAAATCTATTCCTCTGTCCATCGACAACACTGCGTGGGCCAACACTGTACTTGCCTCGAGCACCACCGTTTATGCTGTGGTCATCTATACAGGTCCAGAGACACGTGCCGCTCTTTCCACCTCTGCTTCTCGCTCAAAAACTGGCCTGCTCGAGAACGAGATTAATTCTCTGACGAAGATTTTGTGTTTCTTGACTCTCGCTCTGTCTTTTATCTTGGTTGCTCTAAAGGGCTTCCAAGNNGCTGAGAACGGTCGGGAGTGGTATGTCTCTGTCATGCGCTTCCTCATTCTGTTCTCTACCATTGTACCCATCAGTCTGCGCGTCAATCTCGACATGGGCAAGTCAATGTATGCTTGGTTCATTGAGCGTGATCAAGGTATCCCAGGAACTGTCGTGCGCACCAGCACCATCCCCGAGGATCTCGGTCGCATCGAGTATTTGCTCAGCGACAAGACTGGTACACTGACTCAGAATGAGATGGAGCTGAAGAAGATCCACGTTGGTACAGTTTCGTACGCCAATGAAGCAATGGACGAGGTTTCTGCCTACGTCAAGTCGGCTTTCTCTAATTTACAAGGCTTCTTCTTGCCCTCTTCCAACGTCACTGGTGGGCTTGCTTCAGGTACACGGTCGCGCAGGGAGATCGGTCTACGAGTCCGAGATCTGGTACTGGCACTGGCTCTATGTCACAATGTCACACCTACTACAGAAGAAATCGATGGGGCCACAGTCACCTCATATCAAGCTTCTTCGCCAGATGAGATTGCTATTGTGGCGTGGACAGAGCAAGTCGGATTACGATTGTTACACCGCGATCGAAAATCTATCACTTTGCAGTTTGTGGATAACAGCAAAATCGTGGTTCGTGTACAAATCCTCAACATCTTCCCTTTTACCTCCGACAGCAAGCGCATGGGTATCATTGTCAAGTTTGTGCAAGAGGGTGGAGCTGAAGGTGATGTGAGTGAGCTGTACTTCTTCCAGAAAGGTGCAGATACCGTCATGACTTCAATTGTCGCTGCCAATGATTGGCTTGACGAAGAGACAGCAAACATGGCTCGCGAAGGATTGCGCACACTAGTGATCGGAAGAAAGGCTTTGTCCGCACAGCAATACTCAGCCTTCTCATCAGCCTACGCAGAAGCGTCGTTGAGTCTTCACGATCGCGACAACAGCATGGCGCGAATCGTCAAGCAGCACCTCGAACACAATCTTGAGCTACTGGGCGTGACAGGAGTGGAAGACAAACTTCAAGCTCACATCAAGCCATCGCTAGAACTCCTCCGCAACGCAGGCATCAAGATTTGGATGTTGACTGGAGACAAAGTCGAGACCGCACGCTGTGTAGCTGTGTCTTCGAAACTTGTCTCCAGGGGCCAGTACATCCATACAATTGCAGGGCTCAAACGTAAAGAGCTGGCTCTGGACGCACTATCTCTCCTACATTCTCGTCCAAACGCAGCTTTGCTCATCGATGGTGAATCCCTGTCTCTATACTTGACGCACCACAGGGATGCTTTCATCACCTTAGCGGTTCGTCTACCCGCTGTGATAGCCTGCCGCTGCTCTCCAACTCAGAAAGCAGACGTCGCGAAATTGATCCGCGCTCACACTCGCAAGCGCATTGCTTGTATTGGTGATGGTGGTAACGATGTCAGCATGATTCAAGCTGCCGATGTAGGTGTGGGTATTGTAGGAAAGGAAGGTCGTCAAGCCTCTCTCGCCGCAGACTTCAGCATCACTCAATTCAGCCACTTGACCAAACTGCTCGTCTGGCATGGACGCAACAGCTACAAGCGATCGGCGAAGCTCGCGCAGTTTGTGATCCACCGTGGTTTGATCATCAGTGTATGTCAGACTGTATTTTCGGTTGCTTCGGCGTATCAGCCCATCGCTCTGTACAGGGACTGGCTGTTGGTCGGCTATGCAACTCTGTACACCATGGCGCCCGTCTTCTCGCTCACACTCGACCGCGATGTCGATGAGAATCTCGCCAACCTATATCCAGAGCTGTACAAGGAGTTGACTCTGGGCAAGTCCCTCTCCTACCGTACTTTCTTTATCTGGGTCGCCATCTCGGTCTACCAGGGTATCATCATCCAGGGAGGAAGTCAGCTGCTGGTCCCTAAGTTTGCGGAACACAGTTCAGGAAACGCTGACACTGCCGCCTCGTTTGCACGTATGGTCAGTGTGTCTTTTACTGTCCTCGTCATAAATGAGTTAATCATGGTGGCTGCGGAAATCACGACATGGCATCCTGCGAACATCATCTCTATCCTCGCGACTGGCTGCTTGTATTTCGGAAGTATACCATTCCTCTCCGGATACTTTGATTTGAGGTTCGTGGCAAGCGCTGGGTTTGTGTGGAGGGTTGCTGCAATTTCTGCGGTGTCCTTAGTGCCTGTTTATGCTGGCAAGTTGATTCGGCGAGCAGTCAAACCGCCGAGTTATCGCAAAGTTCAAGGGGTGTGAAAAAACTCACTTCCTCATCTTGACAGACTATCTACTCTAGACTATGTGATTTGGTTTCGGTTATGGTTTTGCACAGCGAGGAATGGGAGTTTGGTATACACAGACATCAGGGGGGGGTTTGTTGTTATCATGATTTTTCTGTAGACAAAGAAGAGAGATATTCTCACTATTGTTTCTATGATGTATGTCCTGTCGCTTGGATACCTCACTTGGGTTGTCTCTTGTGAAGGAGCAGCGAATTTTTGAAAGCAGAGTCGCAGTGCGCAAGTTCGGTGAGTGACGGTCAACAAGATATGGCAGGTGCAAACCTCTGGAACTTGCCCTCACTTCACCAACATTGTGACACACAGTTTGCTAATTATTCGTTAGTCATTCCCTTCACTCTTGGTCATCCGCGCAGTGTTCACCTGTTCTTTCAGCATCGTGCCCATCACCTCTTTCGCTCGTCAACAAAAACTTCCCTCTTCTCTTCCTCGACCCCTTTCCGTCTGCTACCCTCTCGATCTGTCTTTCTGCATCACCCATCACACATGGCCGGTAACGCTGAATTTGCGCATCGTCGTTCTGCTTCTGCTGTGTCTTCGGTCGATGGGGCCCTCTCCAATGACGGCACCGCGAGCGATTCTGCCAGCACTGTCCCTACTGCCAGATCAACCCCCTTCATCGGCCCTCAAAACCGTCCTGGCATTCCTGCTCAGCACCATCCAGCTGGCGTTGATTATCTCTCGAACAACGATGATGTCCCTGACGATCATGCTCTCCAAGTCGACGACACTGCCTTCGCTTCGCAGATGGAGGAAATCCAGACACAGATCAGACTGCTCGGAACAGGTGGACCAGGCCAGCCTTCCAACCCCTGGGGAAGAACTCACAGATATCGGTGCGTCGTCAAGTCGCCTTGTCTTTGATACTTCTGGCTGACCAGATGTGACAGTGCCAACCTGACTGAACCGCTTCGTGCCGATGGAGTCAACCCGAACGAGCTCCACGCCATCGAAGCCGACCTCATGTTTGCCGAATACTACTACCACTACGATCCAGCCGACGGTCCGTTTCCTGCATCCAACACTGCTGCCGCGATCCAAGCTGCTGCAAGCGAATATGATGACAGATCCCAGTACCGTTACTGTCACGAGCCTGATGTTGAGAGCGATACCGAGTCAAACAACGAGGCCATCATGGCTTCTTACGAAACACCATTGAGATCTCGCTATCAGGGCCCTACCTCCTACCATGACTTCGCTTCTTCATGCTTTGACAGACCCGCTCGTCCAGGCACCTTTGCAGGCATGGCTGTCTGCGATCCCGGTCTGCCCGTCTTGGCTGTTCCCATCATGCACTCAGGTCGTCGTTTCCCTGCTGAGACCATCGCCGAGATAAGAGGCAACGCCCATGCCCACTCGCACACAAGAGCCGCTTCTGCTTCGCCCACCATCATACCGAACGAGACCGACGTCAACCTTGCAGCTGTGGTTCGTACCATCCAGGCTAGACCAGCTTCAGCGTCTGCGATGGCTCTGTCCCAGGAACTCGGAGCGGATGTGGTCTCAGCTAACACTGATACCCCCGCCGAGTCACCTGTCTTTCCAGCCAATTGGATCACCCACACCAGAACTTCGGGCATTCCTTCACTCCAGCAGCCTGTTACTCCTAGCAGAGCAACCTCGCGCAGACACAACATTCACTACACCACTTCGCCTGTCTCTCACCACTACACCGAAGATGATGATGATGATGATGACGATGTTTGATGGCCCAAGTCAGGGTAGTTGCAGTATGCTCTGATGCATACATTGGCTTTTGATGAGAATGGCCTGGTGGCTGGCATTCGGCTTGCACTTTGACATGGATTGAGGTTTTGCTGTCTTCGCTGAGCGACCGACGTTGTTCTTGCAAGGGGTCTCATGGCTTCCAAAGTCATTGTTTCGAGTATTTTGCGGTTTACGTTCTCAGCACCAGGCGTCTTCGACTTTCGTTTTTCAGATTTGCACGGCGGTATGAACAAACATGTGATGAGTATGAGATGGCAAGAGACAGACAGAAATCAAAGAAATGGAAAACAAGCATGCAACATTACCAATCATCCTTGAACTTACCAACAATCACTGCTTCGATTGACATGGTAGAGCTCTGCAATAACAGAGAGATCGTGGTTTTTGTATTTTCAATGTCAAGAGCCGCAATCAAGAAGACGAACTACATCACGGACCGGCTGTCCCGGCAAACTCAAACGTCATACCCCAATGCGACCCGCTCTGCTGTATCATCAAGGTGTCACTGTGGAGATGGAAAGGAACCATCAAGTATATTTCAAGTTTCTGGCGAGTTGCTTGAGAGAAAACAAGAGTGCTATGCAATCTCATATCTACTTGCTTGACGGGTATCCCATCCCCCGACATCGCTATTGCATCTCAGCGAAATTCGGCCGCTGGAAAGGACAATATTGCCTGTTCTAGCAATGTTCCAGACCTCAGCTGCTTCCATGCACTGAAAGGAGAAGGTCGAGCGCTGAGATGGCTGATGTTCTCCCTCGTGACCTTTGGCTTGCTCTCCAGTGCTCCGAGTCTCGCCCTTTGCAAATTGCGACAAGTGAGGAGTCGCAAGCCTTACGGTCAAGATTCGGAGGTTTGGGGGCAGCTGCGTAGACCCGGAATCCTTTTCCCCGAATGGTGCTGATAGTTGTGGATATTGTAGGGTTGCACGATTGCCGACCGAGATATTGGGGACTAGAATAGGAATCTTGATATGACTCTTGCCCTTACTACGACAGCACTAAGACGCCAAACATCTGCATACAATACCAGCAGCAGAAGAGAGCCCCTTCTGTTTCGCGGAGCAGACTCGGCGATTGTGTCTCGCAAGGTTTGTGATTTGTGGAGAAGCTCTAGAGCAAGACAGCTTCTGCATTGACCTTTTGAACCGTTTTGGGCACACCCCGCATCCTTTCCCGCCTCCAGTGGTTCTGTTGTATGTTCTGGAGCAATGTGCTCGGGAGTAGGAAACAAATTTTGTTGCTATCGAGCGCTTGGTACAGTCACGATGGAGAGAGCAGATGATTTAGGAGTCAATTATAGGATTGTCGAGAGGTATATTGGGGGGCTGGTGACAATTGCGTTGGTCTGACGATGCGGGAATTGAGATTGGAAATTTGTGGGGTGCGGGAGTGAGAACGTCATGCAGGAGGAGGAGTGAAACAGCTTCTCTCTTTTCATGACAGGCATGCCAGGGCAGCTGTGATTAGTAGAGGGTGGTGGTGTTGTAGCTGCAGGACTCTTGTTAGTCGACTGCTCGGGAGGAACAGGAGGGGACGATGTAGCTTTATATGCTTTGTTATTTTGAAGGGAGTAGTCGTAGGAGAAGTGAGGCTGATGCTTAGAATGCCATCGCGATCTATACAACAACTCGCCTCTAGACGCGACACATGGTTGTGAGGGCTGCCGCACATCTGACCCCCTCTCCTCTCCGATCATCAGGAAAGCAGTCGATTCCAAATGCCGAACTTGGGCATACGGGGCATTGGAGAGGATGCGAGGCCGAAGTTCGGACGAAGGATTGCATACTGCGCGTACGCTTTCTCCACAATTGGCTAACCCAGTGATGCGAGCTCGAGGGTAGCTCCCCTCCTCTTTTGTTTATAACCGGCCACACATCCCCTCTTCCTGCTGGATTCTTCTTTTCCTCCTCATATCCCTTCTATCCCCTCACACTATCACAATGGTCTTCTCACGCCTTGCTACCCGCGCTGTGCGCCCTGCTGCCGCCTCGCTGCGTGCCTCTCCTCTCTCCTCCTCCCTCAGATCTACCGGTGCAATCCGCTCGCTATCGGCCACTTCTCGCCAGAATGGCAAGGTCTTGATGGTGCTGTACGATGGCTTCGAGCACGCAAAGGAAGAGCCCCAATTGCTCGGTACCACCGAGAACGAGCTCGGTCTGCGCAAGTGGATCGAGGAGCAGGGCCACGAGCTCGTCACCACTTCGGACAAGGAGGGCGAGAACTCGACTTTTGACCAGCACCTCGTTGATGCCGAGGTCATCATCACCACCNCCTTCCACCCTGGTTACCTGACCAAGGAGCGTCTGGCCAAGGCCAAGAACCTCAAGATTGCCGTTACTGCTGGTATCGGATCTGACCACGTCGACTTGGACGCTGCCAACAAGACCAACGGCGGTATCACCGTCGCCGAGGTCACTGGCTCCAACGTTGTTTCCGTTGCCGAGCACGTCGTCATGACCATGCTCGTCCTCGTCCGCAACTTTGTGCCCGCCCACGAGCAGATTGCCGCCGGTGACTGGAACGTTGCCGCCGTGGCCAAGAACGAGTACGATCTCGAGAACAAGGTCGTCGGTACCGTTGCCGTTGGCCGTATCGGTGAGCGTGTGCTCCGCCGTCTGAAGGCATTCGACTGCAAGGAGCTCCTCTACTACGACTACCAGCCCCTGTCGGCCGAGAAGGAGGCCGAGATTGGCTGCCGTCGTGTCGACAGTCTCGAGGAGATGCTCGCCCAGTGTGATGTCGTTACCATCAACGCTCCCCTGCACGAGAAGACCCGCGGTCTGTTCAACAAGGAACTGATCTCCAAGATGAAGAAGGGTATGTGTTTCCTGATCTTTTGACTTACCGTTCCCATTGCTAACTCTTTGCTCGCACAGNGCTCATGGCTCGTCAACACCGCCCGTGGCGCCATTGTCGTCAAGGAAGATGTCGCCGCCGCCCTCAAGTCCGGCCAACTTCGCGGTTACGGAGGTGACGTCTGGTTCNCCCAGCCCGCACCCGCCGACCACNCCCTGCGCACCGCCCAATACACCCACTGGGGCGGCGGCAACGCCATGGTCNCCCACATGTCCGGTACCTCCATCGATGCCCAGAAGCGCTATGCCGCTGGCACAAAGGCCATCCTCGACTCTTACTTCTCTGGTCGCCACGACTACCGCCCTGAGGACCTTATTGTCAAGGGTGGTGACTATGCTACCAAGGCTTATGGTGAGCGCAAGCAGGCTAGACAGAGCTCGTAGAGTGGGTCTGGCGAGAGTCGTGTTGTTGCTGAAGCCGTGCCTGGGGCTGGCATCTTGTTGAGGGTTGTGCCTCCAGGGTGTTGGTGATTGGAGCAAAGGAGCTCGCAATCAACATGCAAAAGACTTATGTTTTTTCTGTCACGATGGATGAATACCCTTTTTCTCTTTTTCCTCTTTTTACTATTAGCTTTTGTATAGTGCTCTTGAATTGTTCATGGAACCTTCCTATTTTACCTTAAGCCCTATGTGCGTCTGTGTTTCCAACATCATACATGACATAAAAGTGCTCTTGATTCTTTCTAAGTGAACGGATCAAAGATATGCAAGGACAGCATTTCTTCTTTGCTGTAGACGCTACATTCACGTGACATGCTTCCTCGAATGGTTGCCAGTACCACCCTGTTCTGTTCTCCAATCATCAACGCTTTCTGTCAATCTTGTTATGTGACAATCACATCGGAACGCTTGTATTCCGCAACTGGCTCTTAAGAAGTAAGAGCAAAAGCAAGCTCATAGGAATAGCAATACCAAAGAACTCGGATGTCTCGCTATGCTCGTGCATCTTTTCTTGGCTCCCGAATACTATCTCCTTGGATCTAAAGGACGACAGAGACAATCAAGTTTGTATCCGGAATACAGACGAGAAACGGATGATGTATAGGAAATGAAGAGCGCCATCGTTGTCATGAAACGATCGTTAGTCAAAATTTACACAATTCCCCTTATTGCCCTCACCCAAACGCTCGCTCGCGAGCATAAACGCCAGACATCGAACCAAACCAAACACAAACCAGCCCAATCCAGCCACCCCCAAAAACATCAAAGAGATCTGCTACCCAACATCTCTACATCACTTCCCAGGTTTCTCAACCCGAGAAAACTCTCGCGAGAGCAAAGCTCGCAGCTCAGGACTAACGATCCTCTCCTTTTGCGCTTGAGTCGTCGTCGCTTGCTGTGCACCCCCAGCACCTTGTGCGTCTGTAGAACTCGCCGCAGCAGCTTGCTTGCCATCATGACCCACAGCCGCAGCACCTTGGTCCAACGCACCCCCAGAAATCTGTTTCCTCTGCCTCAACGTCGGCGTCGGGAAATGGTCTTTGCGGTCAATATGCTCCACCGTCCTTTGAAAGCGGCGAAACAGTGCTTCTGCCCTGATCATTGTAGAACCTAAATCAATGGTATTGCTCAACTCATTCACGTACTTGAGTACCTCGTCAAAGCCGCGCAAATGCTCCATAATCACGTCCCTGTGTTTTTCTAGAATGGCAACTGCGATGAACAAGTGGAAATTTGCAGAGTAATAGTCTGTCCAGAGGGATTCCCAGAGCCGCAACACGTCCAGCCAGGCAAATTCGCGCTTGTACCAGACCAGCAGCATGCGGAAGAAGAAGAAGAAGTTTGTCGAGTCTACGGATTGGAGATGGAGGTAAAGCTTAGGGTCGAGGAGTTGAACGAGGTGATCGAGGGTGCTGAGTTGGAGACGCATGCCGCTTTGATCGCGGAGGAAGTTTCGCTCCATGCGATTCATAAAGTGGACGAAGCCCCAAAAGGCCACGGCGTCGTCTTGCATGACTGCGTAGATGGGGGCGAGCAGGTCACTCATGCCTTGCACGTAGCCCAGGTCTTTGTTGTATTCGTTGTAGGTGAGCAGCATGTCCTTCATCTGCTCGAGGTGGACATTGGTGCCAACCTCAGCGAATGGAGAGGTTGGGTCTGGGTGTGGGATGTCCTCGCCAGCGAACAGGGGGATATTACGATCAGTTCGGTGCACATCCTTTTCTNNACAGCACGGACCCCACGCAATGTGGGAAGATGTCAGTTACTTGATGCTGAGGGAGCGAGTAGTGGGTTGGTCAGGGGCAAGCTTACCTATACGCATCTTTTGCTCTTTCCACCACTCGCGCTCTTCGAGGGTGCCGTCTTCATCCATCATGCGATCCCACCAGGCACCCTTGAGACGGATGTATTCGTCATTGAGGCTGTTGATCTTGGCCTTGCGTTCATCCCTGGTACTGTTCCAGTCATGGACACCCAAGAGGAAAAGCCAAGCTTCCTTTCTGACGCCATCGTCTGGATGTAGACCGCCGTGGAAGACACGCTCCTTGACCTCGTCGGGAGTGACTTGAAGCCTGCCATGGGAATCGAAGAAGGCGTTCCACTCCTTGATGGTGACGGGGTCTCTCTTTTCGTTGAGCTCGAGGTGCCTCATGTCGACGTCCAGAATCTCAAACTCGCCCAGCTCGGTGTCTTCATTCTCCAGCAAGTCCTTGGCCGTGTAGATGCGTTGGCTTCTATCACGCTCGCTCTGTTCGGCAATGGTCATTGCCCATCTCGCAAGATACAGACGGGCACTGTCAAATTCTTCTTGGACCGTCTGAACTTGGGGGTTCTGCATGATGCGACGCAGCTGGGGAGGCAATTTGGGGTTATCAGCAGCAGCCTGAGCAGTACGGCGGGTGAAAGTGGTGACCTGACTGAGCTTCTCCAGGACAGCCCAGCGAGAGTCTTTCAAAAACTTTGCAACGGGATCCTCCTTTTTCTTCTTCTGGGGTTGTGCATTGGGGCCTTCTAAAGCTTGCTGAACCTTGTCGGGAGAGGGCTTGCCAGACTTGTTCGTGCCAAAGCCAGTACGATCGGCGTCTGAGGGCTCGATCAGGAAGATGTTGGGCTCGGGNGAGCGCTCGACATTGAGGTGTCTCTTGAGCCATCCCAAGACCTGATCACCGCCCCAGAACAAGTTGCCGCTTTCGCCAAAGGGATCAAAGTTCTCGCGGGCGAGCTTCTTGCGGTGGTTTATGGTGGACTGGCATTCGCTGTCATGGAAGAAGAGCGCGGGAAAGCTGTCGCCTGAGCGAGTATTGATGACGAGACTGCCAAACCACCAGCCGGCACTCGGCGGGCGGATCTGGATCGAGTAGATTTCGCTGGCTTGGACAGCAAAGGGGTATGGGCCTGGGGTAGCCGAGTGGGCGGAAGTGATGGGCGGAGGAGGAACGAGATTTCTCGTGGGCTGGTCCTTGTCGTCCAGGTCGACCTTGTTGTAAGTGTCGAACTGGCCCTGGCTCTGGAGGGAGGCGACGGGGGTCCATCCCAGGATGAGCGACGATGATGGGATTTGGGTGGACGAGGAAGACGAAGCGGCCGAAGAGGCGGAAGGAGACTTTTGCTCGTACAGGGCGCAGAAGCCATCGATGTTGTCCTTGGACGAGGGCGAGGGGTGGACAAAGACCTTGCTCTTTGCGTAGAGCAGCTTGACGCCGCGCGAGGCCGACGACCGGCGGCGCACGCTGTTGTAGTCGCTCTCTTCGTCGTCGCTCATGTCGTATACCGATGCAGGCGGGCTGCTGTTATGTGATGCTGCCATTGTTAGTAGTATAAGACTCTCTCTCTCTCAAACTGCTGCCTTGATGCTTGTGACCGATTCAAGCCATGACGTGTGTGGGGTAATCGTGGGAAACCCCTCTTTTCCACCACTTGAGCGACTATAAATATCAATATCAATATCGAAGATACCCAAGTACTATCACTTCGAGTATTCAACTTAGATGCGTGATATGCATGATATGCTGGATGAAGATGTTATTACTCTCGCACGGGATTGGCGGAACTTCTGCCAACGCCCGCCTAGAAAAAGCCTAGGACTTGACGACTCCATAACTCCCTGCTACTTGAACAACGTCAACCTCGGGCAAAGCGGCCAGATCCTGCTGGCGATGCTCCTCCTGTGCCTGCTCCCGCCGCCGATGCGACATTTGCTGCACTGTTGACTCTCGCAGCTCCCCACAATCTCGCCTTGAGTCTCTCCTGCGCCGTGCCTCCGCTGCTGGCCGGTGGTGAGGATCATTCCCCTGCTGTTGCTGAGCCACANGTACTCTGATAGCTCCCTGCTCTCTGACTGGGCAATGGTCGAGGTGCTGCCAGACTGTCTCCTCCCTGGGCCCGTCCCTGGAATGACCCGCTGCGATCTTGTGCTCGTACTCGCAGTGACTGCGGTTGTGGCGATGCTTGTCGCTGGCCAGGTGTGTCCCAGAGGTCGCTCAGACCGCCTCTTCCGCCGCCTCCTTGGGGTGCGTTGATGGTAGGTGTTTGTTGCGACGACTGTTGTCGCAGGCTTGATGTGAAGGATGACGTTGTTGTCTGCGCCGATGCTGAGCGCTTTGGGTCATTGGGCAGCCATGGTGGAAAGGCTTTGTTCTGCTCCGTGTAGTATGCGCGGAGTGCTCGACACAGGTGAGAGTCGTCTTCGGTGTCGCCGTCGACTTCGTCGGATAGGAGGTTGCGCCGGAGTGTGTTGTATTTGGATGTCGTGTTGGTGAGGATGTTGGACAGGTACGACGACATGGTAACTTTGCTCTCTAACTGCCAGCAGTTGTCGACTCTTGATTCAAGTGTGTCCGTGTCTTCGGGTTGATGTTGTGCGAGGACAACAGGAGTCGCGGAAGGTGTGCCGAGTGGGAGCAACTCGACCGAGCCTTGGCGGCCCAAAATGGTCATCCGAACACCTGAACCACCTCCCTCCCTGCACTCGTCTTCGCCGGTCTTGCCTTTCTGCAACCAAAACGTAGCACTAACATGCTACCCCGCCGCCGTACTTCCCGCTGCTCTCGTGTATATATATCCATACCACCGTAGGTCCTGGTTGACTGTCCCATTGTCTCTTCAATTCTTTCTTGCTTCCTAATCTCACCACCACCACCATGCTTGCTTCACCTCTACAACCTCATGATGTTTCCTTGTCACACTTCACAAAGCCACAAACTAAACAGAGCGCTCCCACTGAAATGTCTCCTCGTGAGATTGCTCAATCATGGCTAGACCGCTTCTCGGCTGTCCTCTCCTCTGGTGATGCTTCCCGTCTATCTACCGTCTTGCATCAAGACAGCTGGTGGCGTGACCACGTAGCCCTGTCCTGGGATCTCCGTACCCTCCACGGTCTCCCTGCCATAACATCCTTTCTATCACCCATCCTCTCGTCCGTGAACCTACATCCATTGTGCTTGGCTTCAGACAATGAAGCATACCCTCCTTCCCTCGTCAACCCTCTCCCAGAACTCGATTGGATCCAGTCAATCTTCACTCTCGAGACCAGCACAGGCAGAGGTCGTGGTTTCCTCCGTTTAGCCCAAGCCGAGGATGGAGACTGGAAAGCTCACATGCTGTACACCGCCCTCGACGAAATCAAAGGCCACGAGGAAACTACCGGCGCACGCCGCTCCCACGGAGGCCAAAACTCGTCTCTGGGTGGCAACTGGTTTGAGCGCAGACAAAAGACCTACGACTTTACTGATGAAGAACCTACTGCGCTGATCATTGGAGCAGGCCAAGCTGGCCTCAATCTCGCTGCCAGACTGCAAGCGCTAGGTCTTTCTACGCTGATCGTGGACAGACAGACTCGTGTGGGAGACAACTGGCGCTCTCGCTACCGTACCTTGGTGACCCATGACCCTGTGACCTATGCACACATGTCCTATCTCCCTTTCCCGTCCAACTGGCCCCTCTACACGCCCAAAGACAAACTCGGAGATTGGTTCGAGGCATATGCCAGTCTGATGGAACTAAACATCTGGCTCTCCACCTCCGTAACCTCAGCATCCTATTCACCCTCCTCCAAGCGCTGGACCGTAGCCCTCNAAAAGGCAGACGGGAGCACCAGAACCTTGCACCCCTCCCAATTAATCCTCGCCACAGGCCACAGCGGCGAACCACGCATCCCTTCCTTCCCAGGCCAAGACTCCTTCAACGGAACCATCTACCACGGCAGCACCCACAAAGACGCCACTCCCTCTTCAGCGCAAGGCAAGAAGATCCTCGTCGTCGGCACCGGCAACAGCGGCCACGACATTGCCCAAAACTATCATGAAGCCGGTGCCGCCTCAGTAACCATGCTACAACGCAGCGGCACCTATGTCCTCCAAGCCGAAAAAGGAGGCCATATGTTACACGCAGGAACCTATGATGAAACCGGTCCTCCGACCTCAGCCGCAGACATCTATTCCCAATCCCTACCTCTGCCCGTCCAATTCGCCCTCGGCAGAAATCTCACTGCAGCAATCAAAGAAGCCGAAGCCGAAAATCTCCAAGGATTGGAAAAAGCAGGATTCAAAGTCGACTTTGGACATGATGGATCAGGTCTCTTCAGAAAATACATGACCAAAGGTGGCGGCTACTACATTGATGTAGGTTGCAGCTCGCTCATAACCTCCGGCGCTGTAAAAGTCGTCCGCTGCGAACAGGGCATCAGCCATTTGTCCTCTGATGGCGTCCACCTCGCAGACGGCAACTTTGTCGCTGCTGATGTGGTGGTGCTCGCGACCGGCTACGACAACATGCGTACTTCCTGCCGCAAAATCCTCGGTGACGAAATTGCTGACCATGTCTCTGATGTTTGGGATTTGGATGACGAGGGAGAGTTGAATGGAGTAAGTTCTTCCTGTCTTTTCCTTTCCTCTACTGCTACTCTCCTTCTTGCGTCTCTTCAAAAGCAATATAAAACCACTGACACATAAACAGNNATGTGGCGACCCTCCGGCCACCCCTCTGGAAAATTCTGGTACATGGGAGGAAACCTCGCGCTCTGCCGTATCTACAGCAAGTTCCTGGGTTTGCAGATTAAAGCCATCGAAGCTGGTGTGCATGAGATATAAAAGATATAGAACAGACAAACAAACAAAAAGACGATGATTTCTTTGCCGCTTGCTTTGCTTTGCTTTCCTTGGCTGTATAAGTTATAGCAGGAAGAAACGAAGGGGGGGGGGGGGGGTTTGTGGTTGCAGAGACCTAGTTGCTTTAGTTGTCTGTGGAATTTTGTGTAATACGCATGGGAGACGAGGAAATAAGAGAAGTTGTCACTTTTCGCGTGTATGTCATGTGGTTCGACTGGGTCGATTATCGGATGTAAGAGACATGATGAACACATTGCAATTAAGACACAAAGACCAAAGATACGAACAAGGTTTATTGAGAAATGCGATCTTGAACGAGAAAATGATAGATGGATACAATACGAGAATGGGCGTCTATGGAGCTAAATGCATAAACGAAGGGGTGTATGATGGAAAGGGGGAAATGCTTCTAGCCTTTTGTTCTTCCTTTGCCTCGGGGACCTAAGTGAACTGAAATGGTCAGATAGGTCGCTCAGTCAACAACAAATTCAACTATAACCCCAAAGTCCAGCTGAAACTAGAATTTCTGACCAAGGGGTTCTGGTTGCTCATTCTGTTGACGACCTCCAGCCTCGGTATACGTAGGAGTTTTAGGGTTCGAGATGTCAGACCCCGAGTAGTCGGACCCCGAGTCCCAATGTGGCTCGGGTTTCGCGCCAAAGCCATCAAGGCGTTACGCTTCCCTGGCTGTGGTTGATACGATGCCGGTGGATCATCGGATTCGAGCAGGGGTTCCTATCCTTGCATGACACTGCTGAGGGCCACCTGGGCGTCGGGACCCAGCTTCTCGTTGACGGCAGCTGCAATGCGTCCACCAGTCTTTTGATCGGCTTCGGTCAAGTACGAGCCAACCCACTTCTTAACGTCCTGGACTTCGGGNAAGGGATCTCTAGGCACAGGCTTGCATGTGTTGAGAGCTGTGAAACCAACGCCAAAGCCGACGTCCTCGACATCACGGTCTTCAATCATCAAGTCATCAGCAGACTGCGGGAGCGGAGGGTTGATGAGAAGCTTGAGAAGTGCTTCGCATGTGAAACCCCAGCCCTTCTTGCCGTAACGATCCACAAAGGCCTGGCTGTTAGCCAGAGTGTGAGTGAGCGAAACAACGGCAGTCTTGCGGTCGAATGGTCGTGACAGCTTCTGCGTATCAGGAAGGATGATCTGAAGATACATGGGGGTGAAGACGTTTTGCTGCACTTGATCGGTAACGTTGATGAAGAGATCGGGACCAAGACCCTTGTCGTCCCGTGCTGAGAAGAAGTGGTAGAATCGAACGAAACGGACGGTGAAGTTCTCCGTCTTGGAGTTGGAGAGACGCGTCATGAGCAGCTGCACAATTGTGGTCAAGTAGTTTTGCAGAGCAGCAACAGGAAGGTTGCCACAGATGGCCTCGAGCAAGTCGAAACCGAGTGACTCGTTTGCCTTTGAAGAGATGAGCTTCTGGAAGATGACCAGGATAGGCTCGATCTGGTTGTTGGCAACGATCTGCTCCGCAGCACGAGGGATCATGGATGAGAGGAGACGGACAAGAGCAGGGACATTGCCGCGAGAGTTGTACATGTCCAGGGTGAGAATTGGGCCAAGTAAACTCTGGTAGTAGCTGGGCAATGAACCTGAAGGGTTGGCTTCGAGGAGTGCAGCAAAGACCTGGAAGACATACGGCTGGAACTCTTGGACATCGTTGGCCAGAATCTCAGCAAAGGGATCGTAGAGAGCAGCTTCGAGCTTGGCAGCCTGTGTAGCGGCAGCGAAGCGAACAACAGCGCCGATGCTCTCAAAGTGGTAGTAGTAGAAGCGGGGGTTGCTAGGGTTGTGACGAATGACCTTGACGATGTTGATGAGGTTGGTCAGGACCATGTCGAGAATGGGCAAGACACCCTCGCGGATGACGATGAGCACACGCATCACACACTTGATCAAGAACTCATTCTCCTGGATCTTCTCGGCCTTTGAGTCCTTGGTCATGAGGAGGAAGAGGTGTTGAAGAAGGTCCTTGCTAAGTGACTGGAGAGTTTCTCTAGGGATGATAGGTTGGCGCTTCTCATCGGTCATGTAGAGAACACGCTCAACAGCAATGGCGGCATACGAGTGGACGACGTAGTTCTCGTTACCGAGGCACTGGACCAGCAGAGGGAAGGCGGCTTGCCATTGGTCCTGGGTCAGTTGACTGCGGAACAGGTAGAGGTACTTGATGGCGTCAACCTTGAGAATGGCCTCTGTGTCGGCCGAGGTGAGGTCGACAGCAATGTTCTTTTGGAAGAAGTCGATAACATCAACGTTGGTGTTTGTTGTCTGCACACCGCGAGCAGCGGTAGGCACACCCTTGGCGGCAATCGAGGTAAAGAGGTAGACGGCAGTGTCCTTTGACTTCCAGTTGTCGCTCTTGCTCTTCTCGTAGTCGGCCAGGTAGTGTGAAATGTACTGCGAAACAACGTCGGTAACGAGCTTCTCGAACTGCTCAACCAACTGGCGCAGGAAGTCGGTGGCTGCTCTTCTGCGGGTATCGCTGTCGGATCCTTCCAGATCGCGGCGGATGAACTCGATAGGCTCGTCCTCGAACATATCAACATCCGACTCGCGCAGAGACAGGTTAGGAAGGATGACCTTCTCGACAACCTGGCCTAGAATCTCCTGGTTGTTGAAGCTCTGGGCGTATTGGTTGATCTTGGTGACCGAAGTCAAGAACTGCAAAGCCTTGCTGACAAGAATGTCGTACTTGGTCTCGGGACCGATAGCAGTAAGAAGGGTCCACGAACTCTCGACAAACTGGCCCAAGTATGGTCCAAAGGCATCCTCGTATTTCTGGACGTAGAGAATCAGAGCCTCGAAGATGGCAGCCTTGTTGTACTCCAGAAGACCGGCCTCAGACTCGTCGTCGGTGTGCAGGAGGGGNTTGTCGTAGCTCAGATACTTCAGGAGCAGAGCGCTGATGGAAGCGAGGTTGTCTTCAAAGACCGGAGGCAGATCTTGGCAGGAAAGGTCGTTGAACAGCTTGATACTGAGGTTGAGTGTGGCAAAGTGCTGGGTGAGGAGTTCTTTGTTGTTCTGGTTTGCGGCGATTCGCTGATCTGTGCTCTACGGAGAGTGTCAGTGAGTGTGCCAGCGCTTATGGAAGTAAAGGTGTCTTACCTGCAGAAGAGCGAGGTAGGGCTCGCAGAACTTTGACAAGACGTGGTTGATCTCAGTAAAGAGGTCGTCTGTGCGAAACAGCGGGCGCCAGCGACGGAAAATTGAATGTGCGACCTGCAAGACACCGTTGTTGACCTTGGGATTGTCGGGGGTGAAGCGCGAGACGAGGTCGTCGACCAGCGTGTCCCAGCGCTCCCAGAAGTCCGAGTCGGCAATGACGCTGATGGCCTCTCCCAGCTGAGTCTGGATGGTGGCAGGCACCGAGATCATGAGGCCAATAACCTCACGCTTGATAGCCGAGACCTCGTCCTGTGGGAGTTTGTAGTTGCCATCCTCGTCGGTCCAGCTGCGGCGGATGAAATTCTTAAAGAAGAGAGCGGCCGCCAGCCGTGTCGTGTTGGGATATGAGTCTGAGGCGACGATCTGAAGGAGAGCGAGGGAGAACTGAGGCTTGGTTTCTTCCTGGCGGATGGCCTGCTCGGCNTGTTGTGTCTGGTCAGTACATGACGGTGTTGAATGTTTGGGACGAGACTTGCCTTGCTTGTTCGAGCGGGGGTCGAGACTGGCCTGTAGAAGGTTGGCGATGGTTGCTAGATCGGCCGACATGATGAAAATCGTCGTTGAACCGAAGGGGAGGAATAAGTGCGCCGAGAATGAGTGGAAGCAACCACCAGGCGACAAGAAGTTTTAGGCGTGTAAACAGAACAGCTCCCCGCATTGGGGACGTGCACTTTGTGCTGCCATGCATCATCACCTAGTCAGTTGCATCAACGAACTTGCATCTCTTATGAACCACCTTGACGATAAATCTACCAATACTATCCGGTCACAAGTGTACGGAGAGCATGAAGGAATCTCAACTGTGATGCTTGTTCTGAGTCGGTAGCTTCAGCAAGCAATCGATGGACATGACCTCTTTCACAAGCCACCCTTTCACAGAAAGGTATTCATGTGTAAGGGTGGCTTTGATGCTGTGAAACTGTCCATCAATGATTGTTGTGGTAAATACGTGTGGCATCGTTACATTGTGGGTTCATATGACTTGTCAGAATGGCAGCAATCCCGGGCACTGTTTAGTACAAGCAATGAGCATAGACATGTCTTCTGTAGCACCTCAAAGCCTTTCTCTTGTAAAGACCACAGCTGGCATCTGTAATAATTTGTAGCATACTACTTCTAGGAAGATCAATATCGTCGTTGGTGCTGGCGATGGCAGGAGCGGGAAAAGAAAAAGAAAAAAGGAGATAAAATCTGTCGGTCGTCGGAAAGAGCCGCTGACCTTTGTACAGCCAATCAGGGCTTATGCTGTCAGCGGAACGGAAACTTGACGCCGCTCGATGCGAGACTCGCTCAAGGTGTCGACACTCGCCCTCTTCGCTCGATACAACCACACTCCACGGCCTCACACAACATGATGCGCCAACAGCTTTTGCGCAGTCTGCCGCGCTCGCAGAGGCTGGCCTCGGTCAATGCCACTCGCGCCTTCACCTCCTCCGCCCCTCGTCCCGCCGAGGTCGAGCTCACAATCGGTATGCCCGCAACTCGCAGACTTCACCAAAGTAACATGACTGACACGCGCAAACAGNATGGCAAGAAGGTCTCAATAGAGGGTATGCTCCCACTCACCACCACTGCACATCACCGCCACGTCTGACACGCTCTTCACANNGCTGGCTCCGCCCTCATCCAGGCCTGCGAGAAGGCCGGCTCCACCGTCCCCCGCTACTGCTACCACGAGAAGCTCATGATCGCCGGTAATTGTCGTATGTGTCTCGTCGAGGTCGAGCGCGCCCCCAAGCCCGTTGCCTCGTGCGCATGGCCCGTCCAGCCCGGTATGGTCGTCAAGACCGACTCTCCCCTCGTCCACAAGGCCCGTGAGGGTGTCATGGAGTTTCTGCTGGCCAACCACNCCCTCGACTGCCCTATCTGTGACCAGGGTGGCGAGTGCGATCTCCAGGACCAGAGCATGAGATACGGTGCTGACCGTGGCCGCTTCCACGAGCTTGGTGGCAAGCGTGCCGTCGAGGACAAGAACATTGGCCCCCTCGTCAAGGTGCGTTCTGATCATCACATTCGCTCTCTGCCTGGCATTGGCTAACTAGCTTCCTCCAGANCCTCCATGAACCGCTGCATTCACTGCACTCGTTGCATTCGTTTCGCCAACGACGTCGCTGGTGCCCCCGAACTTGGTTCCACTGGCCGTGGCAACGACATGCAGATCGGTACCTACCTCGAGACCGCCCTCGACACTGAAATGTCCGGAAACGTCATTGATCTTTGCCCCGTCGGTGCCCTCACCTCCAAGCCCTACGCCTTCCGCGCCCGCCCCTGGGAGCTTAAGCACACCGAGACTGTTGATGTCATGGACGCTCTCGGTTCCAACATCCGTGTTGACAGCAGAGGTCTCCAGGTCATGCGTGTTCTTCCCCGTCTGAACGACGACGTCAACGAAGAGTGGATTGATGACAGATCTCGCTTCTCATGCGACGGTCTCAGCACCCAGCGTCTTACCACCCCTCTCATCCGCGAAGGCTCCACCTTCAAGCCCGCCACCTGGGAGAACGTTCTGGTCGAGATCTCCGAGAAGTTCAAGCAGCTCCAGCCCAAGGGCGATGAATTCAAGGTTGTTGCCGGTCACACAATGGACACCGAGTCGCTTGTCGCCGCAAAGGATCTCGCCAACCGTCTCGGCTCTGAGAACCTGGCCCTCGACCAGCCTCAGGGTGACTCTCCTCTGGCCCACGGTACTGACGTTCGCGCAAACTTCACCTTCAACTCCAAGATCATCGGTGTTGAAGAGGCTGATGCCATTCTTCTTGTTGGAACTAACCCCCGCCACGAAGCTGCTGTCCTGAACGCCCGCATCCGTAAGCAGTGGGTCCGCTCTGACCTTGAGGTTGGTCTTGTTGGTGAGGACTTCGAGTCCACTTTCGAGTACGAGAACCTTGGTGCCGATGCCAACGCCCTCAAGTCTGCCCTTTCTGGACCTTTCGCCGAGAAGCTGAAGAACGCCGAGCGCCCCATGATCATCGTTGGTAGCGCTGTCGCCGAGCACCCTGACGCCAAGGCCATGTTCGAGACTGTCGGTAAGTTTATCGAGGAGAACAAGGTCAACTTTGCCACCAAGGAGTGGAACGGATACAACGTTCTTCAGCGTGCTGCTGCCCGTACTGGTGCCTACGAGATTGGCTGGGGTGTCAGCAACCCTTCCACCGCTCAGACCACTCCCAAGATGGTCTGGCTTCTTGGTGCCGACGAGATTGAGGCCGCCGATATTCCCAAGGATGCCTTCGTCATCTATCAGGGCTCTCACGGTGACAAGGGTGCTCAGCTCGCCGATGTCATTCTCCCCGGTGCCACCTACACTGAGAAGAGCGGAACTTACGTCAACACTGAAGGCCGCACCCAGATGGCTCGCGCCGCCACTGGTACCTACGGTGCCGCTCGCGAGGACTGGAAGATTCTCCGTGCCGTTTCCGAGGCCCTCAACGTTACCCTTCCCTACGACGACATTGAGATGCTCCGCGACCGCATGAACGAGATCTCCNCCGCCCTCTCCGCCTACGATGTTGCCGAGCCCACTTCGCAAGAAATTGCTGCTCTTTCCAAGGTCCAGCTTGTCGAGGCCAACCACGGCGCCAAGATCACCGGCACCGCTCTCAAGAAGCCCATCGCCGACTTCTTCTTCACCAACGCCATCTCAAGATCCTCGCCCACCATGGCCCGCTGCTCAGCATCAAAGGCTCAGGGTAACGCAAAGACCAACTTCATGGCTCCTGGTGAGCCCAACCCCCAAGTGCATTACGGACCCAACGCTGTCGCCAGCGCATAAGCGACTACCATGTTTTGCTGTAGATGATAATTACACAAGACGGCGCTCTTACGAAAACACAATGCCGAGTCCGAAGTGGTAGAAGATGAAGATTTGGACAGAGGAATATACCCGAGAATCCGAGGATATACCTGGAGTGGCTTGAGCAGGAGGAAGCAGAAACGTCACTTGCGAGAGGATTCTCTGCATAAAGGAAAGATGAGATGGGGGTCTCTTTACAAATACTGCCCCTCAGACCGGCGAACATGGGCGTTCTTTTGACTGTATTCGATATGCTTCTTATTTCCATTTGTTTTCTTTATTTCTGTTTAGCATAGTCCCGGTCATGGAAATGTTGTACATATTAAAACTTTTATTCCTTCGTTGTCTGTCTCAGTTGACATGGACTTGGCGGTGCGTCAGATGGCAGCCAGCAAATGACTTGAGTCCGCTTCCTCGAATCCTTCTGTACTTCTACAGTGATACTTGTTAGTCAAGCAGAGTGTCAGGTTTCATGCCAGCAGAGCGGTCAGTCGCTTGTGTTGAGCATGTGATCTATTCTATCTTCTAAGCTCTCCTTCCAAGGTCTGGAGACAAGGGGAGATGGAGATGGCGTTTGGCGCACGGGCCTGACACTTGATGGGTGTTGCGGAGGCCCCGGGTATCGAGCTAGCCTTGGGTCATGGACATTGATGGCTTGTGACATTTGACTTTTCACCTTGGTCCTTACTTGCAGAATCATTGCTAGAATAGAATCGTCAAAAGACAGAGAGCCGTATGCATTCTATGGTGTCTGATTTGGAGAAGCATGGCGTTGATGTAGAGAAAACGGCAGTGCTCGGATAATCAGGGAGAGATCGACGCAGGCTCAGGTCCAAGGGGAAGCGACAAGCCGCGACGCATGGCAAAGGATGATTCGGAGACAGCAAACGTAGGAAGGAGCGCCTTCTCTCCCTCTTTCTTCCGGCTCATCAATCACACGCCGTCTTGCTGTCACCGCCATTTCCAGCCTCTTCTCTCTTACTTGAAAATCGTGAGCTGCAGGTTTTCTGTTGATCTGGCCGACGTCATTGGTCCCTTATCAGTGCGAGCTTTGATTCGCCGTGGTCCTGTTGGGTAAAGGTGTCGATATTCGTATTGCACCAAGTGGACGAAGCTATCGACCAAGGTGTTGTGATAGCCGCACGTGTGCTCTCTTCCCGGTAAAACCCCTTTCTCATTCTTCTTCCTGCCTCAATCGCAGGCAGGGAGAGATTGAGCCACTACCTTCAAGATTCCCGCTCCGGCCAACATTCCATTGCACACTCTTTCATCGTCGTCACGGCATCTGCGCAACACCAGCAGCGTCTCATCGTTTGACGAGAAGCGATACTCTGACGGCAGCCGTCACCGGCGCTCGTCCGACTCTGCCCACAGCGACTTCAGCCTTTGGAGCGACACGGGTGATCTGGTAGACCAGCTCGACAACGAAGACGACCCCTGCGCGTCGCTCTAAACCCACAGCACCAGAGCCCCAGTAGTCGTCGTAAGAACACCAAGCACGTTCGCTATCAGAGCGGTACCAAGGAGGGAGCAATCAACAAGAACGACATCCCCATCCCCAATCCCCCACCGCGCCAAATCTCCCAAGCCGAACGCATCATCGCCTTCATCATGGCCCCGAATGACGGCCCCTCGCGCATGCATGGCCTTCACGGCAAGAAGCTCATCTACTTCACCTCGGTCTTTGTCTCGTTGGGTGTCTTTCTGTTTGGTTACGACCAGGGTGTCATGAGTGGAATCATCACCGGCATGTACTTCAAGGGCTACTTCAACCAGCCGACAAGAGCAGAGATTGGTACAATGGTTGCCATTCTCGAGGTTGGAGCCTTCATATCTTCTCTGGGTGTAGGCCGCATTGGTGACATTCTCGGTCGTCGGCGCACCATCCTCTACGGCGCCGTCATTTTTGTCATTGGCGGTGCTTTCCAGACTTTTGCTACTGGTATGCCTATGATGATGTTCGGTCGTATCATTGCCGGTCTGGGTGTTGGTGCGCTCTCGACCATTGTGCCCGTGTACCAGTCCGAGATCTCACCCCCTCATAACCGCGGAAAGCTTGCTTGTATTGAGTTCTCGGGCAATATTGTTGGTTATGCCTCAAGCGTCTGGGTCGACTACTTTTGCTCATTCATCCACAATGACTGGAGTTGGAGACTTCCCCTGTTCATGCAGTGTGTCATGGGCTCGTTGCTTATTCTTGGCTCTTTCTTGATCTGCGAATCTCNNCCAGGTATGTTTCACTCATCATGCCGTCTATTTTTGACGCTGACAAGAACATGTAGATGGCTGCTGGACAACGACCATGACGAGGAGGGCATTGTCGTCATTGCTAACCTCTACGGCAAGGGTGACATCCATAACCAAAAGGCGCGTGACGAGTACCGCGAGATCAAGATGAACGTGTTGTTGCAGCGTCAAGAAGGCGAGCGCAGCTACAAGGACATGTTCAGGCGCTACTACAAGCGTGTCTTTATCGCCATGTCTGCCCAAGCTCTCGCTCAACTCAACGGTATCAACGTTATTTCATACTACGCTCCTCTGGTCTTTGAACAAGCTGGATGGGTTGGTCGTGATGCCATTCTTATGACTGGTATCAACGGTCTGACTTACCTGCTCTCCACCGTACCACCGTGGTATCTTGTCGATCGCCTCGGCCGTCGTCCTATCCTGATGTGGGGTGCTATCGCCATGATCATCTCGCTCTCGGCCATCTCATATTTCATCTACATCGATATCCACCTTACTCCGCGTATGGTTGTCATCTTTGTCGTACTCTACAATGCAGCATTTGGTGCTTCTTGGGGGCCGATTCCTTGGCTATATCCTCCCGAGATTCTCCCTCTGAGTATCCGCGCAAAGGGAGCTTCTCTGTCCACTGCGTCGAACTGGGCCTTCAACTGGCTTGTCGGAGAACTGACGCCGATCCTTCAAGATCTCATCCAGTGGCGACTGTACTTGATGCATGCATTCTTCTGCGCTGTCTCGCTTGTTGTGGTCTATTTCTGTTATCCAGAGACGTATTGCGCTACCTTTTCCACTGCATTTAGATCCAAACTAACGATTTTTACAGCGNCCAATGTTCGTTTGGAAGACATGAACAGCATTTTCGGAGACGCATCTACTGTGGCACCCTCACCACAGACCCTCGCCGAGGCCGAATCACTCTTCAGCAGAAGTCCCGCACCTTCCATGCATCTCGATCGCGACGGAGATGCACCTCAAGACTCCAACATCCCTGATCTCGACATTGATCCCCCTGCCGTCGACGTGCAAAATGGCAAGCCCATGTTTAGCAAAGACTCTGACTCTGAAGGTCTCGGCGGCTGGATATCCAATCTTGTCAACAAGGGCAAGGGCGATGGAGCATCTTCTCATGCTGGAGGGAGTGGGAGGTATAGGCGTGTTGGACAGGATGCCGATTAGATGGAGAAAGCAAGGCGAAGCATTATATGTGGAGTTTTTGCATGGATATTTGTACTTATCTGTACAGATGTAGTCATGAAGTGATGGAATTAGCTTGGAAGTAAGAAAAACGTCTGTAGATTCGTGTATCTGGATTTGACATTGCGGACTGAGAGCTTGATATATCCTTGGTGTTGAGGTGAATCTGCACGGATCTTCATCCAGCTTCATGATATTGGTCGCAATTCTCGAGAAACACGCGATAACGATGCCAATGGCTTCCCAAGTCCACTCATTTCCTTTTGAGCTGCAAGACAGGTTCCATAGTGGTTGTTCTCAATCAATACATGCAAAGTGAGCCATCATAAGGGTAAGATAACATATCTTGGAACTCTTGAGCAGGGTGCTCCCCTTGCAACAAACAGAATCTAGACTCGCTCAACCTTCCTTGACGAGATCTGAGACAAAAGGGTCCGAGGAACCCTGTTCCGCCTTGCCGCTTGCCGCGCCGCGTCCGGCAAGCCCGTCAGCCGCGACTGACAACGAGAAGTGAGAGAGATGAGATGAGCATGATGAGTGAGCACAAGGCCATAGGGCTGGCGAGCTGTTGGAACTCTCTCCTGGACACATCAAGACCTGGCTTCTCCTTCTCTTACTCTCCCCTCGTCCTCGGTGCCTCTTTTTGGCGTTGCTTTTTTTTTTCCTTACGCATTTGGCACAGTCGTCGTCACTGATTATCTTTCTCCCCACGTCCCGTTATAGCCGTTTCTATCCGGATACAGACGGACAGGCAATTACAATTGTATCATTTTATTGTCTTTTGGACGCTTGTGGGACCTGAGTGTTTGAGTACTGAGGGGGATAGCGATCTTCATCTTCTTCTTCTTTGGTTACGACTGGCTTCTGGATATACTCCTGGACGCAGGATAAGAGGAACAACATCTTACAAAAGCTCGCGCATCTTCGCCACTCACGAGCACGCATACCGATTCCTGGATCTGAGCACCTAAGCATCGCGGCAAAGCCACCGTCTGTGAGACTAGAGCAGACGCCCACGCGAGCAACCATAATGTCACAATCACAATCGCAGCCCTTATCCTCTGCCCTCCTCGTAAGCTACCTCATTCCTCTACCTCTACCCCCTCGACTAACATATTCACAGACACTCCTCCTTCCATTCTCCATCGCCCTTGCCCTCTACCTCAGCATCTCATATCTCATCATCCCCTTCTGGCGGTCCCAATCGCCTAATCTACCCATCGATACCATGTCAGAGCTGGCGCGACGGGCAAAAGACGGGGTATACAGGTTTGCGAAGAGGTTTCGCAAGCACGAGGAGTGGGATGAGGATGCAGGGGAGGAGGATGAAGAGGCGGCTATGCTGAATTACGAGGAGGATAGGGGAAGGCTGTGGAGGNGGAGTGTGCCGGTGGCGAGGGAGGATGAGGAGGGTTGAGAAGAGAGAGGGAAAACAGGCAAGACAAGGAAGAGAAGGATAACATACAGAGCGTGCTGGTTCGCGCTGGAGCAACAGTGTTGAGGTTTGGGAAAGAGCTGGCATTTGTGCTGGGCAAGAGACAGTCAGATGCAGCAACGAAAGAGCACATGAGCTGACTGCTCAGAGCGTGATTGCAGCGCACACACGCGACAAACAGCCAGAGAAGCATCACTGAGTTTTCTCACAGCTGTACGGACAAGCATTGTTCGCGGACATAGCATAACAGACCTCACTCAGGTTTTGTGGCTTCAAGAGCTACACTATGCTTCTGGCCTCCCAAGTCGTTCCCGCAAAAACAGCAAAGGATAGAAAGACAGCACTAGCTAGCTAGCCAGCCAGTAACTTCGAAAACATCAAATACACGCATAACAGCTCAAGGCACCCATCTCACATCTGCATCCATAACTGCATACCATGATAGATAAGCAAGTCCAGGTATGACATCAGCACAGTCGATTCTTGACCACCAATATGAGCTAGATAGTCTTTTAGAGGAGGGTCTCACACACAGATACGAATACGCAGAATAGCAGAGCAGAAGATAGGCAATGCAAGGGTCTTACGTTGGACCTTGCTGATCATCTTCGCTGTTGTGCTGATCAAAAGGTCGAGAAGTCTATCTAGACCCCTGTCGAGCCACTTGCTGCTCCTACCCAACGCCGGGTTTACCGAAGCAGTTTGTTGGCAGCAAGGATCTGGTTTTGCTTGATACTTCACCTGACTGTTTTCTTCTTTGTTTGCTCTGTGTGCTTTGCTGCGACACAAAAGGAAAGAAGGCAGAAGTGTCAATTAGTTATACTTTTTGCCACATGCCCCTTTGACAGCAAAGCATGTGGCTTTTATCGTGTGCCTGCCTTGCTTGGCTCTTCTAGAAGAATTTCTTTCGACGCATGCATGTACGAGATGGGGTTACAGAGGTACCATGACGTGCTGGATGCAGTAAACATACCACTGCGCTTCCATCTCTTTTGTTTCTCTTATCATGAGATTGTTGGTGCCTACTCGTAGTATGGTGAGATGGCGAGATGGCGAGTTGGCGTGAGGATGACTGGGATTTTTGCTTTTTGCGCCCGTCGCGCAACTGCTGTTTTTGGATGCGAGATCCGAAGCTCGGACGCGTGGTGTTTTGGTCTCGTTCTCGTGGCGGTCAAAACATGATCGACCGTTGAAGCTTCCCATCGTATTTCGCCATCCCCGGCCCTGTTTGATGGGTTTTCATGGGGTAGTCATGGCAGTGAGGCGCGGATACGGCTATTCCGGACCTAAGAGCAGGGGTCTCAGGTTGGTTTAAATGATGGGTTGACCTTTTCTCCTTCATCTGCCTCTCCCTTGCTTACTGTTTGTTTTGCACCATATCCTCCACTGTCATTCATACACACGACCACTCCTTTCACTCACCCACTCACCTACAAGACTACTCTCGCGATCCACAACAACATGATTACTACTATTCCTGAGGGTCACAATGACCACGACTACAAGACTGCCTGCAATGGCAAGCGACGTCGCATCTCAAAGGTGTCGATGAGTCTGGGCCACACGGCCGCCGAAGACCTACGAAGCGAAATCTCACAGAGCATCCGCAAGGAACTCTCACGTCGACGAAGCAGTGTCATTGCCCCGGAGCCACAACTCAAGTCACGACCCACAGAGACGGCCAACATCCGCTCAGCCGAAAAGGAGGAATCAGCGGTATCCAAAGCATTGAACAACTTCGATCTCTTCGAACACATTCTAATGCAATTGCCCTGGTCCGGCGATGAGGTTGAAATGCAGCGACAGAGCATCCGTGCCATCATGACGACTTCAAGGACATGCCGCAGTTTCAAGGGCATGATTGATGCATCTGCTCGACTGCAGAAGCGTCTGTTTCTGGCACGCGACTCTGAGCAAAAGAGACCCTGTTTCTGTGGTCACCAAGAGGAGGAGCGAATTTGCGGCGCAGAGACAAACNCCTTCATTGCACCCACGCTGAAGAAGCACATCCTCCACAACTCCTTCTCCTGCGACCAGCGACGACAGAAGCAAGATGCTGCAAGACAAGCACGAGCCGATCAAGAGTCGCTCTGCCGCCATCTCGACAGCACCAACCAATCACACGACGACTACTTCAGCCACCCAGTCGCCTTCCGCGACCTCCAAGACCGCCAGAAGAAACACATGCTCGCCTTCAAAATCTCCGAAAACGACCCTTTCTATCTCCTCGGCGAACGCTCTGCCGCCGATGCAAGCTGGCGAAACATGTACTTTTCCAACCCGGCACCCACCCGCATCGAACTCTACTACTGGAGTTATCTCATCCGCTGCGAGTCGCAGGACGGCAAACCGCTGACCGCGGGCTTTGTTTGGGATACCATCAGTGAGACGCTTGAGGTTGCGAGACAGCGCAAGGCTCCTGGATATCAGTATGAAGGGGACGAGCCCTTGCTCGTGCTGCTGGGGTCGTGGGAGAAGGAGGGGGATCACAGACACGTGTACGACTGGTTGAACCAAAGGCATGAGGCTTGCAGCAGTCCAGCTTGCCGATATGCAAAAGCTTGAGATTGCGCGGCATGGCCTTGACATGCTGGCAGTCTGTCTTTTTGCCGACGCTGGCTATACCACAGTCACCTATATTCTATCCACAGCGAAGCAGACTTGTTTGTTTTGTTTTCGAGCGTTCTAGCGTTGCCTATCGTACTTTTGCCTAATAGCTGCATTTGCATTGCATTTCTTGTGTAGAAACATGGACCTACATTTCCAGCCAACGAGGCCTTTGGATCTTCTTCTCTACCTATGCACGTTTGTCCATTCTCCTCTATTCCGTGAACCGCGCGTCTCGACCTGTGACTCTTAGATCTAGACTTTGCGGTCAAAGGCATGCCGCGGGTGACGGGGGTCACACTGAATCAAGTGATCTGGTGTTCTTCGGACCACGGAACCGTGATCACTCGACTTCGAGCGCATGCGACCGCGTGGTGTGTGCCCATTGTGTTGCCGCGTGCAGCGACATGTCTACTTTGTCTGCACGTCTTTCTATCCTCCTTCCCAATCTCGTCTTTTGACCCTCTGCCTCTTTCGCATACACCCAACCGAAGTCCGAAGGTTGGCGGTGGAGGGAATGCGCAAGCAATTTAATGTCATTATGCGACTCATGTTGTTCAGCTGAAGCTGAGAGGACCAATGAAGAGGGACAGGAATGTGGAAAAGAGCAGCTGAAAAGAGCCAATGGTTTGAGCCGCGACGACCATGCATTTCGCTATAAAACTAACCTTTTCTTCAGCTTCCCAAGATCTATCGATCTCGGACTGAATCAAGAAGAGAGGCAAGAGCCGCATCTAGTCTCCATTCAGACCTACGAAAGCGCGGAATGGTGCAAGCAAGTCTGGCTCTGGCTGCCCCCTTCAGCCCTCAGCCAGAAACGGCATCCCCGAACCTTTCGGCAACGGCGTCGCCAAACCGAAACGGTCCAAGACTTCAATCTGCACTTCTTGTTGTGTTGTTCTCCTTTCTCGGCGAACCTACCACACCCTCTTTCATGCAAGGGCGCTTCCATCTCCTGGTCACTATACCGCGGGTCGTGCTTAAATGCTCCAAGCTCTGGTTGTGGCGCTGTAGGTACTGCGCTTATGACCGAGCAGCTGAAATGCATACAAGTCGACGGCCCAGCATGTGAGACCCCAGCACAAATCGCCCGTTTCTACCGGTGGGATCAATACACTCTGTAAGTGATGGGCGACAATAAAACACTTGCCTTGTCCCTGGAACTATGTAGGTTGAAGACTTTTTCCCTATACACTCTCTCTTGTCCTGCCTGCTTTTGCCGGCATCTTCACTCGTTTCGTATCGAGTCAGTCGTTCTTGAACAGAAAGATGCCTTCCTCAAGGCTTATTGGGGCTAGTGGCCTTTTGATTGCTCTGCTGCCCTTGACGGCTTCTGCAGTCTCTTACTCATATTCTTTGCAAGACACATATGCTGGAAGCAACTTCTACGACGGCTTCAACTTCTTCACCGACCCGGACCCAACCCATGGCTTTGTCCAGTATGTAGACAAGCCTACAGCCATCAGCAGCGGTATTCTCGGCTATGGCCAGGGCAACACTGCCAAGTGGGGTGTGGACGACAGCACAGTACTATATGCCAACTCGACCGGTCGTCAATCGGTACGTCTCGAAGGCAACGTCAACTACAACCACGGCCTCTTCCTCGCCGACATCAAACACATGCCGGGCTCCATCTGCGGCGTCTGGCCCGCCTTCTGGACTCTCGGCGACTCGACCTGGCCTGCTCATGGCGAACTCGACATCATCGAAGGCGTAAATACCTTCACGACCAACCAGATCGCCGCCCACACCGCCCCCAACTGCACCATGAAGTTTCAGAACCAGACCGGCTGGGCCAATGGCTATGATTGCGCCGTCAGCACTGGTGGTGCGGCTGGTTGTGCCACAGGATCTAATGACAACACCGGCTATGGTGATGGCTTCAATGCCAACGGCGGTGGTGTCTACGCCATGCAGTGGACTTCCGAGTTCATGAAAGTGTGGTTCTTCCCCGCAACGCTATCCCGGCTTCCATTTCCTCTGGCACTCCCTCGCCTGCCCTTGACTTTGGAACTCCCGTTGGCAATTTTGATGGCGGTAGCTGCGACATCGATTCACACTTCATCAACCACCGCATGATCTTCGACACTACATTCTGTGGCGACTGGGCGGGGAGTGTGTATTCTTCTACGACATGTCCCATGGCTAGTGATGGTGGCAACGGGTGTGTCAACTATGTGGCCAACAATCCGAGTGCGTTCAAAGAGGCATATTGGGAGGTCAACTATATCAAGGTGTTTGCTGAGACTGTTGTCGCCGACCCGACGAGTTCCAGCTCGAGTTCGTCTGTGAGCTCGACACGCAGTTCCACGTCATCTGCGTCTTCGACAAGTGTTTCTCGCTCGTCGTCTTCTTCGTCGAGCCTTTCTACTTCGTCATCGTCTTCTAGCAGCACGAAATCTTCGTCGACCTCGTCGACCTCGTCGACTTTGTCAACTTTGTCAAGCAGCATTCGTTCAACCTCGACATCGTCTTCCACCAGCAGTAGACCCTCGACTTCAACATCCTCCAGCAGCATCAAGCCCTCAACTTCAACATCCTCCAGCAGCATTCGCTCCAGCTCATCATCAACTTCCTCCAAGCCTTCAACCAGCACCTCCAGCAGCAAGCCTACTACAAGCACTTCCAGCACCAAGCCCACCACAAGCTCATCAAGCAGCAAACTAGTCACCTCCTCGACCAAACCAGTCTCCAGCTCTTCAACCATCAAGCCAACAACTTCCTCAACCAAACCAATTTCAACCTCCTCATCCGTCAAGCCAACAACTTCGAGTAAACCCTCCAGCACCACCTCCTCATCCAAAAGATCCACTACATCTTCAACCTCCTCGACTCGTAGATCCAGCACCTCGAGCAGTTCCAGCGCGAAAACTGTGGTTACGTTGAGCACCAAGAATGCCGGGATCACAGTCAGGAGTACTGCTGTTGTGAAGAGCTCGAGCAGCAGTAGCAAGAAGATTACTTCGACTAGCACTTCCTCGAAAAAGGTCACTTCGACCAGCTCTTCGAAAAAGGCCACTTCCACCAGCTCCTCAAAGAAGCCCAGCACCAGCAGCAGCAGCAGCAGCAGCGGCAGCAAAAAGACCAGCACTTCTACGAGCAGCACCAAGAAAGCGTCCACTTTGACGACTAGCACTGTCAAGCGCAGTACCACTTCTTCGAGTTCGTCCAAGAAGCCTACTTCTACTTCTACCAGGAGAGTGTAATGAGGATCTCTTTTCTTTTTCGAAGTCTCTTTTGCAAATTAGATGTAACGACTGTTTATGACCATTAAAGCATCTGTCTTTTCTTTCTTATAGATTTTTCTTCTAGCTCTTTTAATTTCTTAGGGTTCAAGCCGAAATCAGTACATAGACACTTTTATCATACACACTGATATACAAATACGGTCTTCAATTTCTGCATCTTGGTAATACTACCCATACTTGACCCAAATTATTATACTCGAAAGAAAAAGTCTATTTGAGTTGTGAAGCGAATCGAACCCTTGTCTGCCTCGAGTGCCGTGTGCAAGATAGGAAGATATCTCTGTAGGGTTAGAGCTATAAGACTAATTTCTCCATGCACAATGTTGCCATCGTTGCGTCTGGAAGTGAGTTGAATGTAGTTGGTTGTTTCAGAGACTTTAACACGAGAGCTCGAGGTCACCTTTGATTATTCGGCTTCACCACTATAGCCAAGATAGGAGGAGATGTCGCCAACAGTTTGTACACCTGCATGACGTTAGTAAGCACCGCAAACAGAGCACCATCCACCGAGAATCGTCAATTCTCCGGCTGTCTTTTCCAGGTGAATTACTAAAGTGATTTGTCCACATGTTGAGGAACCCTTAGTTTTGTACTGGACAAATCACTGAGACCAAAGAGGTGATCATGGTGTATGTACCGCTGGCCGAGCATATGGCCACTTACAAAGCTGTAGCATCCTGACGAGTGCTTCCCACACCTAGCAGTGGCGATCAATCGCATCTCAAATACTCTTCATGCATAACAAGCTCTGTCCTGAGATCATGTCAAGAGCATTTACTACGATAGATCCCGCCGTTTCTATCACGTCTCGTGATCGCCAACCAAGTCTTGTTGGTGCGTAAGACTCGCGCGAGCATCGGCTAATTACTTCGACTTCACATATAGGAAGGGGGCCATGTGGTGTATAAGGCTTGCTGCCAGCATGGCCCTTTGCAAGGTTGCAAACACCCTCCAGGCACTTTCCATGCATACAAGATTCGAGATGACGACTTGTAATGAGCTTCGACCTATACAGTGAATCTCCATTGACCCTCTCGGAAAAGCACTTTGAGCTCGTCTCCAATCATAGCAAAGTCCAGGTTGATACGCTTCAACCTCGGCATCGCCTGAGCTGCGTAACCAAGACTTGTGTACAGATCATCAATGTAGCGTTCAATCACCATTTCCTCAGGAGAAGAGCCTTCACCATAACGTGAAACGCCACCCGAAGGCGAGATACTGGCGATTCGATCCAGCTTGAGCGTTTCGAGGTGTGGCCAATATGCTCCAAGCGATCCTGGTGGACCATCTGGGCAAAAGACCTCGGGCTATACTGCCAAATCCTCAATGTGTAGGTGCTGTAGCCGCGTAGAGACTTTGTGGAGTGCTATGCACAGTGAGTCTGGTTCAGTACTCTCGTTCAAAGGTCTCGTCTCGAGCACTTCAAACTGAGATGGCAAATCCCAGCAGGAATTGAGGCTTCGAATGCTTGATGGGAGCTGGGACAAACCACTTACAGTCTCCGTCCGACAATCCTGAAGCATTTCGGGTTCTGTTGAAGGAGTGCAGTGAGAATTCTCGAGTCGCACCTCTCGCACAGCACCGCATGCCGAGAGAATTCTAAATACTGCGGGAAGAGAGATCTGATTCTCAGCGCAAGGTAGGTCATGTGTACCGTATTCAAAACGGATCATGGCAGGGGTCAGAAGCCTGGGATAATCCAGCAATGTTATGCATCTAGCACGAGGCAAAGAACAGTCACGCAATAATTCCGCACAATAAGGTACAATACCGTCGTCGTTGCCGCTCGCTAGCAGAGACTCTGATTCACCACTGTTCTCGTCTGGCGATGCGTCCTCTGCCTGTAGGGCAATGCCAAGAGAGACGCCCTGAGTGGCTCAAATTCAGAGATACTCGAACAACGAGCGCACACCTTTGAAGAAGGCGTCGTTGTTCTTGCGTCGGCAATGGTTGTCATAAGTGTATTCATCGTCTTTCTCGCGTCCTGGATCCATCCAGTAGGGTACCGCGACTCTGTAGAGAATCCGACGGATATGTGTACGCCGAGCTCGTCGCTAATCCTGTAGGCCACTGGTAATCTCATCAAGCCTAGCCAAACTCAGACCTCGTTTTTCGAGTCGCTCCTCAGCACCGATAGTGATAGTCATTACATCAGACGGACTCAAAACAACGATAGAGGCATAGATCCGTCTCTCAATAGCGGCATGCCATGATCTGTTGACCAGTGTGTATGGAGTGAGTTTGCCTTGTGTTCGNGCGACATGAGTGGCGATCCACGACAAGAGCTCTTGAGGTAACGACAGTGCCATAACACCGATACAGTAAATTCGAACAACAGCAATGATGTGCCTCGAATGGCAAAGCTGTAGAGCAGAGTAGATAAATGAAGCCCAGCTTCGCAGGAGGCAGCAGCCCTAGGCCTCCAGCCACGACTTCTGGCCACATTCGGCCCGGCTGTTTCGCGAGTTCCAAGAGCGAGACCGTGCCCAAGCCAACCCTTCTTTTCCGCCTAACAACCAACCAATTGCCTCTGTGGCAAGGTGGCACTCGCGGTCGACCTAGTTCATACATGGAACATCGAGGTAACATGCGTGCAGCGACACCAAGAACGCGCGCCATCGGTAGAATTACGAGCTCGAGCCCACGCGATGGGTCGTGTCGCCAAAAGCTTGCTTTGTGACCCTGCAATGTAGATCTTTCACACCCCACGAGGTGTGCTCACCGCATACTGCACGACGGTCCCTGGCCAATTGCTTGAAGTCGTGCCTGACTATCAAACGCGAATGCTCGTTCCTTCCTATCTGGGACAAGCCATCTCTTTCGATACTCCAGTACTTGGCTTTGTAGTAACCACGCGTGTAAGTTTCTGGCCCTAGGTCTCTTTGTTTCCCACAGATGAGACAGTGTCGATCTCTCAATCATACTCCGAAAGCTCTATACTCGACTCCCGAATCAGCCGAAAGCAAAGGTATAAAATCAGTGATGGAGACGACGAGTATATCCTCAGATTCGACAGCTCCCCAACCATACCTCACTCGTTTCAGCAATATACAGCAATCATGCCTCTGTCTCTCGTTTCCACCGCTCTCGCACTGGGGTCTGTTGTGCCCACTCTCGCAGCACCCACGGGTAACCTTGTCAAGCGCGCTGCCCTCCCTGCTTACGCCTTGACCTACGCACCCTACACTTACCTTCAAAGTGGTGAAGGATGGTTCCCATCTGATGTTGCCACACACGTCAAGCACATGTCTGTCGAGTACAACTTCAAAAATGTGTCTACATCTGTCTCGCTCAAGACACTCAATACCTTCAACTCATCCACTTTCCTCACCAGCTATGATAACGTCGAGACCAATCCTGCTTGGCTGACGAGCACGTATGGCAAGCCCAATGCCAAGGGCTACAGCGCTGCCCCTGCTACCATTATCGCTGTCGAGAAGAATGGCTTTGTGGATGTTTTCTACTTTTACTTTTACAGCTACAATCATGGCAGTCTTGTTCTGGGAAGCAGAGTGGACAACCATGTTGGGGATTGGGAACACAGTATGGTGAGTGGCCCCGGCATCTGAACACAGCATCGGACCTAATAACATCGCGCAGNNATCCGTTTCTCCACTGCAGGTGTTCCTCAAAATGTCTACTATTCGGCTCACAGTAGTGGTACTGCATACACCTACGCAGCCGTCCAAAAGGTTGGCGTTCGTCCGGTCGTCTACTCTGCTGCCGGTAGTCATGCAAACTACGCTACTGCCGGCACCCAGAAAATCTACCCTATCGTCGGCAACATCGTCACTGACACAACCGATGCCGGTTCCTACTGGGATGTCGCGCAGAACTACCGCGGATACTATTATGACCCTGCTAGCAACACGGTCACTAATGCTGGTGGTGTGGATATTGGAGGTACCGAGCAGGCCACTGAAACTGTGGACTGGCTCTACTGGAGTGGCATGTGGGGAGACGAGCAGTACCCTGACAGCGACAAGAGACAAAGCTGTACTCTTGGTGTAAGTTGCATGTAAGGTTATGGCGAAGAAAACGCTAACCACAGATAGATTGATGATTTGTGCCACTACCAGAGTGGTCCAACTGGACCTCTAACCAAGAACCTTGGTCGTACTGCAGTCTGCCAAAAGGAGGACGGATGCACGGTCGAGACCGAGCTTTGAAGCTCGGTAGCAATGCGCTCGCCCACGATACATAATTCTCTTCTGATGAATTCACGATGCTTTCCCGCTGTTTCTTCTTACTCTACCGTCTCTGTCCAGAACATCTTGAGACTATTCTCCCATGCTGCTCTTGCCACTTCCTCGACAATAATGCCTTGTAGCCCAGCAACGATGAACGCAACTTGACTCATACAGCAACTCTCATTCCTCTCCTTGACCATACTCCCCACGGCGAATTTATCTTTCTTCTTGCTCGCCGGCATCGATGGCGCATTCACCAAGTACCTCTTCGCCACTTCCGAATTCGCCGGGATGTTGCCCCAAGGCGCATCCGTCTCGAGCTGTAGTGCGTGCAAAGGCACCGCCGCCACCATTGCCAGAGATTCGCGGTCCTTGAAGCTGAACCCATTGACACTGACATCCAAGCCCATGGAAACAAGTTTCTGCATCTGTGCCGCGGTGCCCACGAACGAGTGCACCAGCCCTCTGCGAGGTAATCTATCGATACACTTTTCCATCACAGCCACAAAATCGTCAAAGGCGGCGCGGCAGTGTAGGAATAGCGGGAATTGCCACTCTTGGGCTATAAATATATCCAGCTGGTCGCGGAAACAGCGTAATTGGGTCTCTTTGTCTGCGAGGGAGAGGTGATCGTAATCCAGCCCTAGTTCTCCGTATGCGGCTACCAGTCCTGGCGAAGAGTGCAAAAGCTCGTTTGTTTTGCTTACCACGGCGGTGAAGTATTCTTTGCCATCACTGCCGTTTTCATAGGGTTCGGAGGCGTGGTAGGGATGTATACCGATGGTGGTGCTGCATTGCGAGGCATGTGAACGCGCCATCTGTGCATTGAACTCGATGTCCGAAGCTGACATGCCTGTGAGCAGGATCTTCTTGACACCAGCATTTGCGGCGCGTTCGAGCACAGAGGTGAAATCTGGCTCGTGGTATTGCTTGCCACGGTAGATTCCTGCAAATTCTTTTGCTGTGGCTGTCACTGCGACCNNTGTGCTTTTTGTTATTTGCAAGGAGTCAAAAAGCTTGATGGCTTCGTGATAGTCTTGGGAGAGACATTGGTTCAAATATCAAAGTGATGGACTTTGTGCTGGTCTTCTCTTTTTGTTCCTTTGGGCTGGATTGGATCGGAAAGGAAAGTGACTTACATCTGCATATATCAACTCCTTTGATGGTTTTGCAGGAGCCGCTTCAGGAAAGCCTTTAAGCAGACTTTCTCCCATGATTGCAGTCCGCTGATCTTTTGAGCTGATCCGGCTTTGACTCGCTATCAGATGTTGTGAAAATCGGGTTCGGTGCTGAGTAGTTGGTGTCTGGCAAGATAGAGTCAAGAGGTGAGGAAGGGAAAGCGATGTTCCCCGGTTGCGGAAAGGCTGAAATGGGAACGGGCCGACTTCGGCAAGGGTTGCTGGTGTTTCTTCCTTCTCATACCCTGATTCCAGATGACTGTTCTTAGTGATTATTCGGCAAAAGATGAGAGATCATACAGAAGTACTACGATACCCTCCAAGGGGCCGAACGCGCATATGAAGGACTGCCTTCACCACCAATCGAAGAATACCAGCAATAGTTTGCAAGAATTGCATATCCTAGGCTTGTAAGTACAAAACGCCCGAACATAAACTTGGAAAGTGGAATCATGGGAAGCTTCATAAGAAAGAGAAGAAATATCATTTGCAATATCGGAAAAAAAAAGAATTCTATGAAACAGCACCGTCCGAGAAGATTAACCACCACTTTGTGAACAGAATGTTCACTGTGTTCTCACACAATCATAAAGCTCATTGGCTGGCTATCACAAAGCCAGCCATTCAAATATCCATCTGTATCGATTCCGGTGGGAATTCGTTGCTTACACATCCTGGCCAGCGGTGGCAACGACGCTACCGACTGGAGGAGCAAGACCACCGAGACCAAGAGCAGTCAACAGGGCAACGAGCTCAGGGGACAGATCCTCGAGAAGACCGGGAGTCTCCTGGCGCTTGACGCTCTGACCAACAGTGGTAACGATATCACCGACGGGAGGAGAAAGACCGCTCAGACCGAGTCTGTTGAGCAGGTCGACGAGTTCGGGAGAGAGATCCTGGAGGAGACCGGCGCTTTGGCGTTTCTTGAGGTCCTTGCCGGCAGTGTCGACAATGTCGCCAATAGAGGGAGAAAGGCCACTCAGACCGAGACGGTTCAGGGGATTCACGAGCTCGGGGAGAGGTCCTGAAGAAGACTCTGGCGCTTCGTAATATCAACGCCGGCGGTGCTGACGATGCCACCAACAGGGGGAGCAAGGCCACCGAGGCCAAGGGATGTGAGGAGAGCAACTACCTCAGGAGAGAGGTCTTGAAGAAGGCCAGGAGCAGCAGCAGCAGCGGCAGTGGAAGAAGCGGCGGAAGTGGAGTTCTGCGAGACAGGAGCAGCCATGGCAGTGAGAGCCATGCTGGAGACGGCGAAGGCAGTGGAAAGTCTCATTGTGAAAGATAGAGTAGAAGGTGTTGCTGAAGATGAGATGCTTGGATGAGAAGAAGCTGGTTGTGATGATGAGAATGCAGTTGGAGTGGAATCCTGGTCAACTTTATACCTGAACGGTGGTCGTACTCAGCACTCATGTCCAGCAATTGGATGAATTTTCTTGAGCATGCCATGTCGTGATTGTTGTGAGGATTTGCTTGTCAACAGGTAGATCGTCATACACTTGCGCAACAGAATGTAGAGGAGCTGCTCAAGAAGTGGTCTTCTTGGATGATCATATCTGGTTGCTTGAACTTGGTATAGAAAAGATCGCCTGAGAGTTGTGATCTTCGCGGTCCATGTGTGATGTCCTTCTGTGGATCGGACTGCACTCCACGAACCTGTGAATGTAGTAATCCCAATAGGGGACTTGCATTGCGGGTCCTCAGAGTCTCAATGCCGCGGTAGTGAGCTTAGACCTAGAAGTTGATCGTCATCGTGTTAGTGCTCAGACACTGAGAAGGCACCTCAAGAGTCAGAGCCCACATTGCTCTCTGTGGCCAAGTTATGCCGATTCCCCTGTTGAAGATCTCTCCACAGAATGCTCCCAGGTCCCGTCGAATAACCTTCTGAAAAGTCGTACCGCTTGATTCAGTAGCTTGAGCTTGGTCTTTGATGTTGAGCCACGCGTTGACCGGATTCGGCATGTTGAAAATTCTGAGCACAATCCACCCAGACACACACTGGTGAAACCATCAAACGTCTACTCGAGCTAGAAGCAAGAATTGCGAGATACTCAGAGACAAATCACCTGAGTATCCCGGTCACCCTGTGGTGTTGATCAAAATTGCGATGGCTGCATCAAGACTTGTGAGCCCAATGGATTGAGTCGAGGCACGGATGCCGGGAAGTCCTCCGTCAAGCCACGGACGATCGACAGGGTCGGCGCGGTCAACCACCGAATGTGACCGCAGCACCAGCACTCCATCGGTCGCTGCGAGTCCTCCAGGACCACACTTGGCATCCTTGTGAGTCATGCGTTGGACGACTCAGATATCAGGATTCTTTCCGGTGAGCGGACATCATCTTTCAAGAAAACGTGGATTTGTGCCCCTGAGAAGGCTTGATTTCGCAGCTAATGATGATCAGAGTACGGTTGCACTCCTTGGATATCTGAAACATCCCACATTGGGCATCTACAGCTTTCTCTGACAACTCAGAAGCGCATCCATCCAAGCGCTCGTCTCTATTCAGAGGTGCCGTGGCTTAAGGATATCGACGTTGAAAAAGATGGAGTACATGCAAGCTGCAAACCACCCAGCGCACATGCATAACCTGCTCTGGGTTAAGGTTAAGCCTCAGCTGTAGATCAGATCTTGTCTCAAATTCCACAAGATTTGGTATAACGATCAGATAACTTTTGGGATATGATTCTCTGTAGCATTGTCCGGCAGCCCCCACCATGTGTCAAGTTTTGTAAAAGATGCATGTGCACATTTGGGTTTACTGTGGTCCCTGAGCTCTATGTTGTGCTCAATTCTGGTGGGTCTTCTGCACATGACTGAATCAGTAGTGCTTGAAAAGGTTTCTGCACGCTCGACCACTTGCTATCTACTCCCGACTTGCAAGACTCTCTGTTTGCAGCCTAGGCTTGCAGGTATCCCTACTTGACTCCAGTGACGTCTTGCCTCTGCTCCATGTATGCCAGGATCTTCAATGGTCAATCGGGTCAAATATCCTGCCTCGGTCGTTCCTTGATAGGTGGACCCTTTGAGGTGGAACATTTGATTTCACTTGCTTTTCGACCAATCCTCGATTCTGGACATTAAGAGCAGATCTTCACTCGGCAAAGTAAATCAGGGCATCTCACAACAATCAGCTGGCAGATATTCCACAAGTAGTGTTTCACGGTGCATGCTGTCATCATTGTGTCTGTGCATAAAGACAGCAGATTTATAACTTGCTTGTAATAGCGTTACTAACGAGTTTAACTAACAGTAGGGATTTGTTTATTGCCAGGACTCGGCAGCCTCTACCAACGCCATTATCTGATCAATACATATACCACATAGACAAAAGACTTCATAGCTAGAGTAACAAAGAATGTACCTTGAGGAACGCAAATTTGTATATACAGAGATCCAGAGACTGCTTTTGACACAGCCCATCAATCTAGAATGTGAGTTGCAACAGCTCAGATTCTACCAATCCCGCCTCTGGACCATCATGGCTACTAACGCACGCAAGGGGAGTTGGGACAGAGGGAGAATTGAGACAATCGTATGACAGCACGTGATTGCACGCATTATTTTCATAAGGCTGTCTCAACTCCTCCTCTGTCTCAAATCCCCCTGCAAGCGTTACGGAAAGCTCGCGTCTGACAGCTGCGCATGAGCATTGCCGCGCTACACAAATCTTGTGCGGGGTCGGTGTGCAATATCAGCGCCCTCCAACCTAAAGAAACACACTAGATGCGATGGCGGGTTGGGCGCCAGCGCTGAGTATGCTGTACGTCGAACAATTTTGACTCATGCCTACAAAGCTAATGCATACAGGTTTCCAACCCCGTACTGAGCGACTGCTGGCTGCCTGAACAACGCGGACATTCATTTTCAATCTCGACCTTTATCCCTCTTCTTGGGCCTGCGATAGGCCCGATCCTGTGAGGTTTCATCAGCGAGTCAGTTAACTGGCGGTAGCTGTTGTGGGTTCTCTCAATCTTCCTTGCGTACAACTCCGGAATACTTCGCATTGTCCTCGCAATTTTCGCAACCCTTTGGTCAGAGCGATACGGCCAATCTCTCGGTGACTCAGGCCTACATTACATTGCTCTGACAATTGGCTACACCATTGCTGCTCAAGCTAAACCCTAGTCATGCATCCATATGGCTAATCGTTCGCAGCGCCAGATCTCTTCGATGCATAACCAGCTGATGGAGACCTGATGTATCATGTTAACATGTTCCAATCGTGCGATCAGTTAACAGGAAGTTTTAATGGTCACGTCGATAAAAGACGACGTGAACAAGAACAGGAGAAGAGTCTGAACTTGGGATGTTTGGGGTGCTGACGATAATATAACCCAAGGGTTTCACCTAGCTCAAGGACTAGAAACAAGAGTCGATATATGGATATACAATTTCATATCCATAGGAAGTAGCAGTGATGAGAAGATCACAATTATCCGTCTTTTGCTCAATGCAAGCCGCCTGAACGGCGCAGCAGGTGATTGGATGGGGCCTCTGATAAGCACAGCCGATCAGGCACTGGCACTATAAAAGCCGTCTCCCCCCCGGTCAAAGGCATTTGCTATTTCCTACGACTCTTTTGACTCGTATCTGATATCATCAAACGCGCTGGCAGTGACTTCATTCAGCCGAGAAAGTAGAAGGCGCTGGATGTTCTCGCAATCTGTCTGGCAGCCAAGCACTAGTAGGAGATGACTATGTCGACGTCCTTCATCGTCCGCGCCGCCGTTCTCCTGGATGCCGAAGCCATCGCGCAAATCCACGTCGTCGCATGGTGTGCCGCGTACGTAGACATAGTACCGCAAACCCACCTTGACAGCCTTACAATCAGAGATAAAGTCACGCTATGGAAGCACATCTTGTCGGATCCAGTCAAAGCCGCCAAAATCCTCGTCGCCGAAGAACAGGCGCAGGTGACACGCCTACTGGGCTTCGTCAGCTTTGGCGATGCCGCCGCACCATCTCCAAATCACAAAGCTCTCGTGGATGGCTCTACAAAGACAGGCGAGCTTCGTGCAATATATGTTGATCCTCAGGATTGGTCCAAGGGTGCTGGCCGGCGATTGTGGATGGCGGCACAGCAGCAGCTCGTCGAGGCGCAATTTACGACTGTTGTTGTTCTCGTGCTAGCAAGGAATGAAAGAGCGATCCGTTTCTACGAAGCTGCTGGATTCGGAAAGGACGGAGCTGGATTGATTGAGATTGGAGGGGCGAGTCTTGAGACTGTCCGATTGACCAAGGCACTGACTTGACCTCCATGCGAGAAGCTGACTTTCAGCATCACCATTGCTTCTCTTTGTCACACGTATGAGGGTACTTTGACGCAATGTACATCGCAAAATCCGTCTACGAGGTTTTTCTGTAGTATGGTCTATCATCTGAAATCGCCTTGCCTCCCAGATCAAAACATGATGATATCTACGGATCGAGATACCCCGATTGCTTCCACTTATCCACATATCTCGTCAGCAAATCATCGCTGATAGCTTGCATATTTAGAAGTGTCTCTGAGTGCTTGCTAGTCTTTGTCACGTCCAATACAAGCCTACCACATGACATGGGCACAAAATGTGAATCGAAGAACTCGATGAGCTGGAGTGCTGGATTATCAGTAGCTGACGCCCTGAAACGACGCACTCGCTTTGTCCATTGCTCGTGCGGCACGATGTTCGCGGTCGGGACATTGAGCAAGCGCGATAGTAGAGCGATGAGGTGTTTCCACGATTGCCGCGAGGGATTGTCAATGTGATAGATAAGGTCTTTCGCGGCCTCGGACATCAGCAGTTCGCTGAGCGAAGCTGCGACTTGATCAACCGGACACCAAGCAAAAGTACCTTGTAGGTCAGGCAGCATGCGCAGCACTTGAGAAGACTTCGACAAGATTGGGATGTACTCAGTTGGGTTCCAATATCCCGAAGTGGCTGACCCGGAGATCTGCGCGATGCGCACGGCCATGGCATTGAACCGCTCTGGGTACTGGTAGAGAGTACGACGGAGCATGGTTTCGCATGACACTTTGGCTTCCGCGTAACCTCCCCGAGGTACAGTCTCGATGACCGTAGGCTTCTCCGGGACAAGGGCATGACCGGCCCAGTCCGGGTAGACCCCGACTACTGCGATGGAAGAGATGAATTGGAAACCAATTCTCACGGATGGAGGTCTATAGTTCGCAGCATCTGCCGCAAGATCGATGAGATTGCGGAAGACCTTGAACTGAGCTTCATAGCCACGAAGCTGACGCGTGAGGCTCATCGGCCATGCACTATGGACGATATGCGTGACTTTCTGGAAGAGATACCCATACACGTCTTGTGACAGACCGAGTCGTGGTTTGCTAGTGTCCGTAGCAATGACCTTCAGTTTCTCCATTGCTGTAGGACTCATTGGGATTCCGCGAGCTGTCAAAGATTCATGCTGACGTGTAGTTGCTTCCATATTGCTCACACGGTTGAGGCAGATCACCAGCCGAACCTCTGTCCGATGCGCAAGGTCAGCTACGACATGAGAGCCTAAGCTTCCAGTAGCACCGGTAACCAACACGCATTTGTCAACCGAAGCGTCCATCGCAAGAGTAGTACAATATTTGCTTTCTACGCTCCAGCCTTCCGTGTATTTGTGGATATAAGTGTCAAGCACAGCCTGGCGCTCGCATGAATCGCTGTAAGGAGAGAGTGGAGTCGTAATAGACGCTTGCGGCCTCGGAGCACGGGAATGGCGAGGTCCAGACGCATGGGCGATGATGAGTCGCTGAATGTCCACTTCTGGTAGTTGCCCATCAGTCCAGTCGACGTGCCCATATTTCGTCGAATGCAGTACATGTTCCCAGTGCTGCTCAGTCGCCAGGACATATTGACGGTCGTCCTGAAACAGCCACCACCCGTCTGTTAATCCAAAGGCCAAGTCAACCCAAGGCAGAGGTCGAGTCATCTCGAGAAGGGCCAGAACCCCGTCTGGTCTCAGCATCTTACGGATATTNGCCAAGGAAACAGACAAATCTCGTGTAGCGTGGATACAATTTGTCGATAGAACAATATGTTGACTGCTCAAGAGGGACTCAGGAGGCTCGAGCTCTATGTTCAGTACTTGGAACTCCATGAAGCCGTACCGCTTGAACTGCTTGCGGCCCGCTGCCACAAGGGAACCAGACACGTCGGTGAACGTATACTTGACGGGTACTCCCAAGCTGGCAATCATAGCAGCAAGCTTGCTCGTGGTTCCACCCGTTCCTGCACCGACCTCCAATATATGTAAGGGCTGGCCCACAAGATCGAGTGTGCCTAAAAGCTGCTTGAGCATTTGTTCCAACTGAGCAATCCAGATTCCTGTAAAAGGCGAGTTGGCATACATGTCGGACAATATATCACGACCTTGAGAGAATAAGATCTGGACGCCTTCTTGTTTGCCGATAAGGCAATCAGCAAGATTTGAACCAATCAGTGCAACTAGCTTGTGTTCGGCTGCGTGGAGCGGCTCATTGCGAAGCAGATGCTCTAACAGCACGTCGGCAGATTTCAAAGTTAGTGATACATTCGTGCGTACAATCTGATCTGCATGGACATCGATCAGGCGTGCTTCATGCTCGAGCAGGCCATAAAGCAGATCGACGAATCTTCGATGTTTGGGCTGGTGACAAATACGCTGCAACCGTTGGCCAGGACATGCAGACTTCACGAGACAGCCCAATTCTTCGAAAGCTTGCACGATGTACACAACACATAACTCCGTGGATCGAGGTATTACTCTGTTGCGGTACCCAGCCAAGCCTCCTGTTGTGATAGAGTCATCTGTGCACCACTTCAACGCTTCGAAAGTTTCCGTGAGAAGTTGTGCTGGCATGTTGAAGCATTCTTTGTCANNAAGCATCATGATGTCTGTCACGCATATCACTAGTGATGTCGACAAAGTCTTCGGAGGTGTCTGAAGGGGGCTGCTACTAACATCAACGAGTCGGCTAGAGCCACTCTCTGTGTCAACAGATTGTCTGGAAGGACTATCTTGCGACGACAAACTTGCTGATACCGCCTGTTGATCTGGCGAACACGATTCATGGCGTCTGACCTCTGAACTACTGTCTTTAAGGCCGAGCGTAGAATTGATACGGACCACCAGACTTCGGAAGTCTGTAAGCTCCACAAGCTGTTCGGTAGACAAGAGGCATTTGAATGCGACTTTAACCTCGTGCGCAAGCTCCATTGCCATGAGAGAGTCAACCCCGATCTCGATGAGGTCGGAGTCATCGTGTAGATCATGCCGTTCCAAGCCTGCCAGATTGCACAAGATCTCTCGGACTTTGCTGGCAATGTCAGGCTGCGCGGCGCTCGGGGCGGAGGGGACAGCTGGCTGCGTAGATGGTTGATGACATCCCTGCTGTGGGATAAGCGGCGACGAGGAATCATAAGAATCGTTTTGTCTTGCTTGCTCGGCTACGAGTGGGGCAGAGCATGACGGCTCAGAGACGTGTTTTTGAACAATTCTCGCTAAAGTCTTACGTAGAGCTTCTTTCGACATTCGTTGATATGAGATGCCCAGAATGATCTCTTGCAACGCCCCAGTGCGCGAATCAAAAGCAAAGACATCGCTCACGATGGAAGTCTCGGACACTCTCTTATGCGTCACAAAGACCTTCCACAAGTCTGGCGGTGACGACACTTCCGGCGAATGGGGAGCTCGGTACCAGCGCCCGATCTTGCTGCAGATGAAAACAGCGTTTGTGTTGCCTTCCATGAGGTTGATGTGGAAACTCGAGACCTGACAAAAGCATTCGGATAGAACTGAGTCCATGAGGTTCTCGCCATCAGAGGTTCGCTTTATCAAGCCTGCAGTTTGCAAACCCTTTGCGCATAGCCTCGTGACATTTCGGTAAGGAGTCCCCCATGCAACAACTGGCTCGAAAGCTCGATAGATACTCGAGCCCTGGAGTATCTCATCGGCATCTGGGTCGTCGAGCAGTTGCGAGCAACGCTCCATGTTTATAAGACGTTGAAGACTTTCGAATTCTTCATGTGTATAATTACTGCCACGGAACGCGATGATTCCTGAGGTATGTTCAATCAGTTCATTGTGCTCTCCCTCCGAGGAGAGTCTCCATTGCCATTCGGGGTTTTCGTGGCTACTTTTGACAGCGTCGAGGTATAGCGCTTTACTGTCATCGACCAGAAAGATACAGTGATGTTCTACATTACGAAACTCTGGCTCAGTGGACATGTTCTCGAAGTCGTATCGAAGAGATCTGAGAGCGTCAAGAACAATTTCCATTTGAAGCATGGTTGAGGGCAACGTAGCAGTCGCAACCACGAGCGTCGCTGCGGTAAGCTCTTGGAACCTTTTCTGACAGGTATTGACTCTAAAGCGGACGGAGGATCTGTCGGAGTTCTGGTAGCCAAGAAAAGTTGTCAAGCTGCAAGTTGCATCCTCCAATCGTTCTTCATAAGGGTCTGCGACTATGGTCTGGTCTCTCAGTGGCGTCCAGTGTTGATGATCTTCGAATTGGTACGGCGGTAGAATCAGGGGAGTGTATCCGGCAGTCTGCGACCTGTGATGCGGCCAGAACTGCACTTTCAGCCCCTCTCTCCATAGAGTAGTCGTGGCACTGACAAGACGGTTATACGATCCATCTTCCGTCAAGTTCATGGCCTGGAAGTAAGAAGAGCGGACCTCAGTGAGTGCACGGCTTGCCATGACAGTCACAGTAGATTTTGAGCCTGCCTCGAGCCAGATTGCCGACGGAATATCCTGTGCCAGTCGCTGGACTGCGGTGTTGAAGAAAACAGGATTTCTCATGTGTTCGAACACGAAGCGGCTATCCAGACGCTTCTCGCACTGTTCGATCGCTCGATAGACGCGAATCTTTGGATCACAAAACGTGATATCCTTGCCAAGGCACACAAGTCTCTGCTCGAGAGAGTCCACGAGCGCTGTGTGAAAAGCGTTCGTCACATTCAACCTCTTCATCTTCAGACGAGAGCAAGTACCATTGACAGCTGCCAGATTCGAGATCAGATTGATGGCCTGTTGACTGCCGGCAAGCGTGAAAGATCGTGGACCATTGTAGCACGCAATCGAGGGGTCGGTCTGGCATCCAAGTTCCTGATTGGCAAGTGCTATTAGGGTATCAAGGGTAACTTTGTCTCCCTCTACGGCCAGCATTGCGCCACTTTCCTCCTCCCAGAAGTCGCGAACGACGGCTGCACGGCCGGAGATCAGTTTCAAGGCGTCCTTCAACGTATATGCTCCAGCGATACAGAGACCAACCAGTTCGCCAAAGCTGTGGCCCACGATGGCAGCGACTGAGACTCCGCAATCAACCCATGTCTTTGCACAAGAGTACTGCATGGCGAACAAAGCACATTGCAGCTTCACGACGTCGTCGATGGTCGAGCGTTGGAAGATTGCAGGGAAGATACCATCGAGGCCTAATGATAAGCACGTAGTATTGCAGTCGTCGAGATGCAGCCGAAAGATGGAGATCCGTTGGTAGATGAGAGGATCCAGCCCAACGAAAGTTGAGATCTGCCCGCCAAAGCATAGAATGACTGGACGAGTGGGTGGCTGCTGGATTGACCTTGTGCAATGCTTCGTTTGTTGCAAAGATATAAGCTGTTGGTGCAGATCGTCACAGGATCTTGCGCTCAATATCAGAGATTGAGGCAAAGTGCAGTTGGCTTGGCGGCAGAGTCTGAAGGAAAGATTGTGTATAGAGAGATCGCCGCTGGTCGATCTTTGGTTCTGCAAAAACCGAGCCAACTTCGCACAGTACGCGACCAAACTTCGATCATCGAGTCCACAAAGTCGGATGGGCGCACTCAAGCCAACAGCATGTGAACCCTTACGCTGTACCGAGTGGTTTTGGGAGTACTGACTGATGACCATGGAAGCATTGGAGCCAGAAGCACCATAGTTGTTGATGAGCGCGGCGCGAAAGCTGGTTGTCCATGGTATACACACCTGCGGAATCTGGATCTTGTCTTCTGACGCAGCTTGCAGCTTAGGGCTAACTCGAGAGAAGCTGGCTTGAGGAGGTATGATGCCATGATACAGCATCAGCAAAACTTTTACAAGCGATAGAACGCCAGAGGCAAATTCGCAATGGCCGATTGATCCTTTGACAGATATAAGATGTACCGTATTGCTTCTTGTGGATGCCCTTAGAGCCATTCTGATTCCAGCGTATTCTGCGGGGTCTCCCACAGGGGTCCCCGTTCCATGAGCCTCGACAACCGTGATGTCGTCAGGCTTGAGCTTGGCTTTGTGCATGACATCTCTGAACAGAACTGATAGAGAAGGTGCATTCGGCACGGTGATGGCCGTGGAGTTCTGGTTTTGGTAGACTTGTGTGCCCGAGATAACGCCAAAGATCTGATCGCCATCAATCTGTGCACGATCCACGCTCTTGAGGTAGACAAAGCCACCTCCTTCTCCGCGACAGTAGCCGTCAGCATCGGCATCAAATGGCTTGCACTGGCCGCTGGGGCTCAGGAATGAAGCGCCAGCCAGATTGTGAAACCAATCAGGATTGGTGAAGAGATTGACACCNCCAGCGAGGGCCGCCGTGCAGTCTCCGCTGAGGATGGACCGACACGCATAGTGTATAGCTGCGGTCGACGACGAGCAAGCAGAATCGAAAGTCATACTCGGCCCGGTCCAACCAAAATAATGACTGATGTTTCCAGCAATGAATCCTCGCAAATTGCCCTTTGCTGAGTATGCATTAGCCGAGTGGCATGCAATATTACGTTCGTAGTCGTTGTTACCAACACCGATGTAACAAGCAACATGCTTGTCATCTTGGTCTTGGCTCAGGTATCCGGACTGCTCGACCGCCTGGTACGCGAGCTTGAGAGCCAATCGTTGCTGGGGATCGGTGGAGGCAACTTCACGGGGNTTCTTCTTGAAGAATTTGTGATCGAATTTGTCGTGATCTTGGATGAAGTTGCCGTACCACTTTTTACTCGGGTCCAGGGGTCTCCAGGGNGTTGCCATGCTGAATCGCTGGTCAGGCACTTCGGTGTGTTGAGATTCTCCGCTCGTGAGAACTTCCCAAAACTCGTCGAGGTCTTTCGCACCCGGTGCGTGACATGACATACCCACAACAGCAATGCGTTGATCAGGTGACGGTGACGGTTCTGGAAGCGATTGCGAGCTAGCGGGATTGGGAGAGCCAGACAGAGTAGATGCCTCGATATCGCAAGCATATTCTAAGGAGGAACCCAGCCTTTTGGCAACAGTCGGTGGTACACAGTGTTCCAAGCCGAAACAAGTAATTCTCAGCTTCGAAGGAAGGCTCGGTATAAGGTCTAATGAAGCGTATGTGGTGAGCCAGTCGGATGTGTCCAGCAAAATGGACCTGATTGCGAGGCTGTGCAAGCTTCCAGTCATCAAAAGTTGGCCACCAGACTCCGACCTGACAGAAGCCAATGTTTGTGCAGCCTCCGGGAGTTGGAACCGAGAGTTTTCATCGCAAAATTGTAACAGTGAATGTACAAAGTCCTGGTGTTGCCACCAATGGAATCGACCAGGGAGCCTAAGATCCGTCACATGCATTCCAGCCTCCTCAAGCCTGTGCCTCAGTGCGCTCATTATCTTCTGATCCATCGTGATAGTGGATCTTCTTTTGTCGACTCTGACTGAGATGTATGCGTTGGGAAATTCCTGCAAGAGCTCTTGGACAGTAGATTCTTCTGTCACCTCGTTCCAAGCTACGGAAAGCGAGCACGACATGCCGTTCTCATGATCGTAAGCATCAACGAAAGCGCCGATAGCCATAGCAATGTGGATGGCTGCCGTACCATATTGTTGTAGTTGCTTGGACGACGAGGCGCAGGCTACAGCGAAAGCACTAAGCGTGCCCGTGCAGAGCCCCAAGACTTCGGCGCCCTTGATGGCCGCTGCGAAGCTTGTATTGTCTTCTCCTGGGTTCTGGCAACCCGTGCTGAGATTTGTGGTGTACTGTACAAGATGCGTGATGACGACTAGAGGCGCCAGCAGAATATGGGGCAGTGGAAACAACGATTCTTCATAGACATTGGCCTGCAATGCCTCAGTCAAGCGGAGCAGATGTTTCTCAGCCTGTACGCCGCTCAAGCGAGGAATGGCTTGGGATAAGCTCGGCCAGCTTTTGTGTAATTTCGAGACGCTGTCCAATAGCCAGAGGTTGTTCGGCAGGTGTAGACGGAGTCCGAGTTTACGTAGCGTTGTGATGTCGAAATTCAGCGCTTGAGGCCCAAATATCAGGAGTCTTCGAGCATGCTGTGTGGATACATCTGACGGAGGATAGGAAAGAAAGGGGAGTTTCGCTCAGCCATATCGAATGGTCTCGGTGATGCAACTGCTCAAGATTGTAACGTTGTTGGACAAGAGCGAGGGAATTTGAACAGCAATAAAACTCCGCCTGAGCCACAATCTTTGTAGACAAGCGGTCCAGCTCTCACGACCAAGCAAGGTAGCTGCCACTCTATGCACATATTTCTCCGCGCATCCGTCTGTCTCTGCGCAAGTGCTGCATGCTTCTGGGGACCAGAGAGGTGTTCGTTATCTCGTGCGTCGGCTCCGGAGCTTCGCTGCTCCGCTTTGCTGCTGGTAGATCATTCAGCCCATGGGACCGCAATCACACCATATGTCGGCTATCCAGATAGAGGCGAGGCCTGAAAGATAGAAGCACTTACCACTCACACGAGTTCCTGTGCATCTCTTGCGTGTAGCGAGACGATAGGACGACAGGGCCCCAGTCGCATGGCACACTAAACCACCTTTATGGGGGTTCAAGACGAGTCTCGGTCTGCATACTACCCTTGGGACTGCTGCGTTAATCGCTGCCTGAGTTCAACCGGTCAACATAGGACATGGAGTGTCACGGCTAAGCTTCTCTTCCCCGCCGCCCAAGTCTTGTTCAACTCGGCAAAAGCTTATCTTCGCGTGGGGTTTGTTACCTATCTTAGGAGCTGTTCAATATAAATTAATTAATAATCAACATTCAGACGACCTAAGCCAACATGCAGGTTCAATTGCCAATGGTAGGATACTCCTGCTATCTTGAAGGCACTTGATGGGCACTCTCCTGCATGATGTAAACGCATTTGCGCACATCGTAAGGTTCATCTAACAGGGCTCGGTGGTATGCGAGACCCTGGTCTCGCGTACCATGCATATGCAGAGTTGCAACTTCTTAGCCTCGCAGGATGACCCATTGGCTTCGCAGCTTAGATGGTATCAAGGAACGTGTCAACGGAAGATTCGCGAGCTCGCACCCTTAGTAAGCGCAGAGTTGATATCGTTGGGATCATGCGAGAGAGCTACCAAGTGTCCCCGGCCAGCTATCAGGATACCTGAACGATGGCAGGACTCTTCGCTGATCGACGTCAGGCTCTCATGTGCTCTCAACACCATCCCTGTTGTTATCTCCTGCAGGATTCGCTCGCAACCCCGCCAATATCGCTGGGGCTTTGGGTGGGAACTGACTTCCGCACATCTTCCAACATTGCTGGTGAAGGATGCTTGCAGCCAACTTACCGTCGTGAGTGGAGCCCAGAGATGCGAGCTGATTGAAGAGATCCTCGTCTATCGCCCGCTGACACGCAGCATGAACCGCACGAGCGATATTGCGTGACAGATTCCATGGTTGTTCAGTCGCCAGCGTAGCCAGCGGCTAGAGAGCCTCGCTGGCCGCACACTGCCGCCACGCCCGAGCTAGTCGGCAGGCAAGTGGATGCACTTTCGATGATAGTCAGCCAACTCTGAGTCGCTCAGATAGACCTCGGCACTGCGGTTGGAGAAATTTTGTCATGTCGCGTTGCACTGCAAGTTGGAGAGGGATGAAAGAGGAAGCTGTATTGCAGAACTTGCCAGGGACACTATCTGATCGGCAAACGCTCTTCATCCCACGTTTTCACGCCCTCTCAAGGCCCGACCTATCTCACCAAGCGGTCTGCTTGGATCAAGACTTCAATCACGATAGACCATACCATCGAAACCATTGTCACAAGCACCGAATCGATCACGGAGAGGCATATCGGCCGGATCTACGTTGTAGCAAGCGGAATTGGCAGTTGCCCAATCCCGCAGCTGATTCCAACTACGGCACTTTCGGAGTTGTCCATGGCCAATGGTGTCGCCTCCAAACGTAAAGAGGGCCGTGTTGTCGGCGTTACACATGATAGCCTGAGGAAGCAGCGCGGTTAGCTGTGAAAGGGTTCATGGCAATCCGAGACTTACTTGTCGAAGGCCCTCGAAGCAATGCTCCATGTGTCCATGATAGTTCGGCCAAGTGATGTTCTTGCCATCGTGAGCCTCCCAGAACGTGGACCGGATCGTTCTCTACGAAGCATTCAATCAGCAGATGCTCTGTGCCCAACAGCTCAATGGACTCACGAGACAATGCAGTTGATGATAAGCCTCCAGTGCGTATACGCCCTTGCTGTGGTCGCTGGGCAGATACACGGATTCCGCCCAATTGCGTGACTGGGCCCAATCGCGATCGACCGCTACAAGGCCATGACCGGGAATTAACTGATCCCAAAACTCATCGTTGGCAGTGAAGTTGGTCGTGGCATCATGATTCCAAAGCTGAAGATACTCGATACTTGGCTCAAAAATGGGTTTTGCTACGTAAAGTCAGCGGCGATGCAGGCAGTCAATATGTGCGAGAAATCTTCACTCACGTAAGTCCTCTGGTGCTGCGTCGAGGCGACTTATGTATATGTGATAATTGCTACCGAAAACAAGGTATGCGAGCAATATCGCATTCAGAGATCCTGCAATGACGAACAGAGTTTTCCAAGGATATCGGCTTCTGGAATGAACTTTGTCGAGAATGTCCATTTCATGCTCGACCTCGGGTTCTGCGTCGGCAAGAGGCTCATACTTCTCAGGTTGCTCGGTGGACTTGCTGAAAGAAGACATTTTGTGTTGCAATCGAGAAATCATAATGTGATAGTGAAAAAAGATGGAAAATCGATGGAAGGCATATTTAAGAACAATCAGCTCAGCAGCTGCGAAGTAGCAAGTGATCCTCGTCAAGCCCACCTTGATGAGGTGGTTCTGTATCCGATGGTCAGCTCGATCTACATTTGAGTGACAGCGCACGCCACAATAGGTGATTAATCAACGAGCAGCACCTCGAGCTGCCGAATGCTCTGAGGCACTGCGCATACGCGTCATATCATCCGTGTTATCTCGTACAGCACGGGAACATAGCCAATTGATGCCTCTTCTACACAGCCGCAGATCTGCAAGCTACAAGTACTGTTGAATGGCCATGATCACACTCTGTACTGTAATAACAGCTGCATTGTGCACTGACAGGGTATCCCTGCAATCGCTACTAAGCCTCGGGCTTGTATATTGCTTGGATGGAGGTTGGTATCCACAGCGATTCGCTGTGAGCCTTGAACATGCAGATGCATGATCATGCGTGTTATTCGATAGTTCTGAGAACGTAGAACGATCGACTTGAGAGTCACATGCCGCATGTCTCTGGGAAGGTGAGTTCTGCTGTATCATCAAGGGAGTCGAACATAGTCAATCAGGCTGCAGATGAATCCCAGTCCAGTACTGCGTATATAACTCAGAGAAAGCTGCTTCTTCTCAACTCAACCACATCGACTTTGTCAATACTACTTACTCTCATTCTTCTCACCAGGATCTTCAAATCCTCAGCTGCTTCTCAAAATGCACATCTACCAAGTCTCGTTGTCGATTCTTGCCTTGGCACTCACTGTCTCTGCCATACCTGTGGCCAGCAGCAAGGCTGGACTCAAGGCTCGTTCTGATCCTTATGAATATGATTTCCTGACCGCATGTATGTCATGATACTCGACGCCAAACTCATTTGTGGATAGATCTGACCAATGCAAGCCTTGACCCGCCCTGCCGGTGCCCACCATGCCGCAAGAGGCGAAGCAGAGTCTAACCTTGACGATGCTCCCGCCCGTCTCTACCGCAAGAGCGAGGACGTGTCCGACCTCGACGACGAGCCTGCTCGCCTGTACCGCAAGAGCGAGGACGTGTCCGACCTCGACGACGAGCCTGCTCGCCTGTACCGCAAGAGCGAGGACGTATCCGACCTTGACGACGAGCCTGCTCGCCTGTACCGCAAGAGCGAGGACGTGTCCGACCTCGACGACGAGCCTGCTCGCCTGTACCGCAAGAGCGAGGACGTATCCGACCTTGACGACGAGCCTGCTCGCCTGTACCGCAAGAGCGAGGTCGAAGCCAAGTAAGACAACGTCACAACCAGAGCCTAAGGAATTGGCTATGCGCCTTTTTCGTCTTCTGACTATCAGGACATCGATTGGCATTCAACATGTCGTGAAGCGGGAATGATCTACTGTGGTAGCGAGAGAGGTTGGTTTACAGCAAGAGTTGTACTGGTGATTCGTCGTGTGTAGTAAAATTAAGATTAACGATTTCGCCGATGCGACTCGACAATGGTTCATTTGACTAAGCTTTGTGACCAAGCTTTGCAACCAAGTCTCCTATGCAGGTCATGCTGTAATCAGGCCGCCTATTTATCTATTGGCCCATACGGGCTATCTATGGCTTTGCCCACCAATGAAACGCCCCGATCCCGGCTCTAATCTAAGGTGTGATCGGCTTTCGTCCTGCTTTAGATCACGCTAAGCGGGCAGATTCCATCGTGTCTCTTTTCAATTGTTCCCTGTCAAAAAGATAGCTTATCAGCGCATACCAATGATGTGAAACGAACAGCATGCAGATTGCATAAGTGCATCTCGCTTACAAAGTGTTGTCTGCAAGTGCTTATCGGGGTA